TTAGAAAAGTTACCCGATTCTATCATTTAAGATCGATTACTGACGTAAGGGCTCGGCCACTTTGTACTATAACTGAATCTTCACCCATTGCTTTGTTTTTGTTTTAATTCCAGGTGTCTCTATAGACTTACTCTAGCTCTTGGCAGTTGATATCAGTAATGTCTGACTCGGTAGATATTGTGTTAGAATTCTTGAGAAAGAACCGATTTACGAAGGCAGAGGCTGCTCTAAGAGGGGAACTTGGTAGCCAGCCCCTTTTGGATGGGTCCTCTGAGAAAAACCTTGCCAAAGAGAAAGAAGAAGTGAGAGAAGAAAGTATACCAGCTACTAGTTTAAGTCAGCAAGATGCAGCCCCTCGGAGGAGTAGCGAGCTCTCCCAGGAGTTCATCATCAAGGATATTGCAGTAGGAAGAAGTGGAAATGGGTCGGAAAATAAGAAAGCGCTTGCGAAGAATCAGGGGTCAGGGAGCAGTTTGACAGATCTTTACCCATGGAGTTCTACTCCCATCAACAGCGCTACAAGTTATTTATCAAAGGAAAGTGATAATATTGCTAACAACTTCTCTGAACTTATGATATCTGAGCAACCAAAGTTCTTTCCAAATAAGAAGAATTCTATTGGAAACAAATCAGAATTTTCAACGGATCAAAGAAGTACTTACAGTGGGAGCAGCGAAAAAACAAATTTTAAAGACTGTTATATGGAGAATTCATGGTTAAAAGGGGGTGAATTGTCAAAAGAATGCCCAGTTAAGACCCTTTTCCCACTTTCTTCAAGTAATGCATCAACCAGTTATGATGGTATCCCATGTAATCGTGATGACCGTGTGGAGAGGAAGAAGAAACCTGAACACAATGACGTTAGTGAAGTAACAAAAAAGCAGGCTGATGATGTAGGTATGCCTTTTGTTTCTGGAGCATCGCAGGAGAGTTTGAATAAAAAAAATACCAGGAGCTTTGATATGCCACTTACTATGGAAAATCATAGGGAAGACTTCCCACAGTTACCTCATGTAAGGCTCAAATCTATTGACAAGTTGGTAAATATGAATTGGGAGGGAAAGAATGATCTCCATGGATCTGGCATCGAGCAGTCAAGTGCAGATAACGCCTTTTTGATTGGATCTTTTTTGGATGTTCCCATTGGGCAGGATATCAGTACTTCAGGTACACGTAGATGACCAGTTTCTTATGTGTTTGAAGTTGATTTCACAAATCACTTATTTTACTGTTGGTAAACTTGACCTTCTTGATACCCATCACCGTTTGGATTTTTTTTACTGCTAGTGAATTGGTGTAATTAATGCCATATTTGTATGTCAATTAGCAAGCCCTCAAACTACTGATATCACGTCTTTTATGTCTCTATGCTATTTGTTTAGTTATAGTTGTGTGACAGTGTCGCCTGAAATTATCTGAGAGTCACATTTACATTAAAATCTTAGTTGATGTGGATTCATGGCTTAAATTATAGTCAGATTTGTGAATGGCTCATAGCAGTGTGAAAGCATCCTTATCTTAAAACCTGCACTTATTCTATGATTACACGTTAGGTAAGTTAGTTTCCCTATTGTAACGTCCACTATTTGTTACTTTGTGAATCTTATTTGTTACTTTGTGAATCTTGGTGCTATCTGTTGGTATGACAGAATGTCCACACAATTGTCAATATACCTGTTGGTTTATTAAGTTTGAAACCTTGATGTAAAACCGGGTCAGAGTTACTCTTCCCTTTGCAGACGCAGAGTTGTGTTCATTTGCCTTGTCCCATAGTGCTATTTATCTAACAGTCCAAAGCTTCATGCAGAGAGTTTTCTTTTAATTTTGGTCCCATTACTACTGGGATTGCCGACTTAGGATTTTAGCTTTGCATTAGCATAAGTACACCTTTGGTAATGGCTACTTCATCTGAAAGCTTAGGGTTAATGGGTTAAAACCAACGATATCTATATGGTACAGATCCTTGATCATATCACTCGCTCGCTCGCTCGGAAGAACACATAGATAGCTTTTAGGTGGAAAAATCTCGAACCTGAGACTTGTGCCCTTGATGTCCTGATACCGAAACCACTTTATCCAAAAACTTTTAAGGTAGCATGTAATTCAGTATATATTCTCCCAGATTTGAGATATTCAAAGCTCTCCGCTACTCACTATTTCTAGTTTGTTTTTTTGTTTATTGCACGGCAGTTCTTACCATCTGAAGTTCCATCTGTTATCTTTCATTCATTCGTTTGTGACATATACTTGACCTGAAGTTGCTTCTGTGACAAGAGATTGTCTGTACAAAAAGTAATGATGCATCCTACACTTTTTGAGCTGCTGATTCACGTGTAATGATGTCACTGTTGCATTTCTTTATAATTTGATCTCTTGTTAGCTCTAATATGTTCATTACAAGTTTATGTGTGCTTGGAAAACAAAACTGGCTTGATATTTCAAAATTTCAAACAATCTGTATCTTTTCAAGAGGAGGAAAAAAAAAGATCATGAATCGACTGGTGCTTTTACACTGTTATGGTTGTAAGAATTGTTGTCTGTTTCTTATTGTGTATGTCAAAATTCTGATTGTATAGATTCATTGAATTTACATTTGAAAGCAGGTGGGAAGCGAACAGCTGGTAGTAGTTGGCTCTCTGTAAGTCAAGGAATTACAGAAGATACTTCTGATCTGGTATCTGGTTTTGCTACTCTTGGTGATGATTCAGCAGATTATCCAAATGAGTACTGGGACTCTGACGAGTATGATGATGATGATGATGTTGGGTACATGAGACAGCCTATTGAAGATGAAACCTGGTTCCTAGCTCATGAGATTGACTATCCTAGTGACAATGAAAAAGGTACAGGGCACGGGAGTGTCCCTGAACAGCAAGACCAGGTTCCAAGGAAGGATGAAGATGATGACCAATCTTTTGCTGAAGAGGACTCGTATCTCTCAGGCGAGCAATATTTCACAGGAAAGAATATTCACCAAGTTGGTGCATCAAATAGAAACAATCTGATAGTTCATTATGATGGGCAGTTGTTGGATGCGGAAGAGTTAAATTTAATGCGCGGTGAGCCTGTGTGGCAGGGCTTTGTTACTCAAACCAATGAATTGTCCATGGTAGGAAATGGTAAAGTTGGGAATGATTGTGAAAGGCCTCAGAATGATGATCTCATTATAGAAGATGATCGGCATGGCTCTGTTAGGTCAGTTGGTGTAGGCATAGGCAGTGACGTTGCTGATATTGGCAGCGAAATACGAGAAAGTTTAATTGGTGGAAGCAGTGAAGGAGACATAGAATACTTTCATGAGCATGGTGGTGGCATTAGTAGCAGCAAGGATTTTGAACATGACATAACTATGAGCAATTTTAATAGGCCAAACAGGAATAAGAAGAAAACTAAACAAACGGCAACAAATTTTATTGATGCCGGCTTTTCTTTTCCTCCTCCACGAAGCAAAGGATGTAAATCAGGGTCTGTTGTTACCGAGGTTAACAATGACTGCGAGAAAGGTACCAGTGCAGAAGATATGCTTGCCACATGGAGACGAAGTAGTGATTCGTCTCCACTGAGAAGTTCAAGAGATGAAAAAGTTTCTGATGCTGCTAGATCAAGGAGCACAAGTGCATCATCAGCCTCAAACTACGCTTATGCAGAAAGAGAGAATTTCAAGAAAAAGCAAGTTGGCAAAGGAAATGATGTGATGGAAACAGACCCTGGGGCGACTCTGGAGGATGAAGAAGCGGCTGCACTGCAGGAGCAAGTTAGACAAATAACAGCTCAAGAGGAGGAATTTGAGACCTTCAACCTTAAGATTGTGCATAGAAAAAACAGGTACCTTCAATTTCTTATAACAAACTCTCTTGCCATGTAATAAGTGAATTTACAGGTAAATACATAGATCTTTTCATCTTATTTTTCTATCGAGGATCTTTAGGTGGGAAGTTTATTTTCTGTAGCTTCCAGCTTTCTTCCCTTTGTTTCCATACAGCGGCCTTCTATTTTCCTCCCTAATCTACACCTTTGAATGTGCCAGAACGGGCTTTGAAGAAGACAAGAATTTCCATGTTGTGCTGAATTCAGTGATTGCTGGTCGCTATCATGTTACTGAATATCTAGGATCAGCAGCATTTAGCAAAGCTATTCAGGCTCATGATTTGCACACTGGCATGGATGTTTGTGTGAAGATTATAAAGAACAACAAGGACTTTTTTGACCAGAGTCTTGATGAAATCAAGCTTCTTAAATTTATTAACCAGCATGATCCTGCGGACAAGTATCATCTTTTGCGCTTGTATGATTACTTCTATTATCGGGTGAGCAATCACTTTCGCTTCTTTGATTAAATTCTGTTTCAAAATAAGTTTATCATAGTATTCCTGATTTGATGTGTATATTCACCTACTGTAGGTGAATATGTGATCTCACACTAACGCATTTATGCTTAGTGGTTAGGCAAAGAGTGTGTGTGTTGTGCAATTGTGTATATGTTTGTTATCCAGCATTTACATTGATATATGTTGTAGGTTACTATCCAGAAAGTGGATACTTATTTCTGAACGACATTAGTCAATTAGCTTTTATTAGTTTTGTTTTGAATCACAATTTTTACACATTTCTTATTTTGCCAGTTTATTTCTTTGGAAATTTTTTGTGCGAACTTATAATCTCTTTTTATATATTACTATGTCGTATTAGATATGCTAGCAGTTGAACTGAGCTAGCCAGACGAGAAGTATTTAGATGGTTACCGGAAGAAAAAAAGGCATGCAGGTTATAAGCGCATGAGAAAAGACACATATTTGTACTTACGTGCATCTTAGTGTATATCCACAAGAGCATCTTGATATTCTCATTTCTGCTGCACAGTTTTTTCACATGCTATTTCTTAATTGTGCAACATTCGGAGCCATAAAGCATTGTTGCTATTATAAAAGTTCTATAGAAATTTCTTTTCAATTTCAAATGATTTACACAATCATATGAACACTCCTCCATTTTTACCATCCTGACTTGATTCAATAATCCATGTTAGGTATGTAATTACGTAATAGACATCCTCCAAGGCCTTGCCTGTTAATCCCTATGTAGTTTTATCTGCTGGGTACTGAATTGAATGCAATTAGAACATTACAAACTCAGAACCATCTGGTCGATTTGGTGAATTATATTTATACCGTTCTTAGCGCATGATCACATATTTATTCTTGAAAATAATACAAACACAAAGAATGAAGCTCCATTTGGTTTCCCTGGGTAGTAACTGGTCATGTTTCTCTAAGTTTAACATATTTTTATTTGGTGATTGTGTTTCATAACATTCTGTGCTAATCTACTTGGGCAAACTTCATGCTAGTTTTGCTTTCCTCCAAATTCTGTTAGTCTTAGTCTTTTCTTGCATTCCTTGAAGATTTTAACTATGTATAGTGAAGTCTCTTCATGAGGCATAACCCTCATGCCTCTTAGTTTCATGTTTGTTGATATGGTTTTATATTGCTTAAAGTTTAATTATTTTCGTCAGCACCAATATATAATTCTGGAGAATCCTATTCTTATTTCATCTGTTTATGGTATATCACTTTGTTTGTTCTTCCTTATTCTTGACTTGTGCTTTTAGCTGCATTTGTGCAGGAACACTTGCTGATAGTTTGTGAACTTCTCAAGGCAAACTTATATGAATTTCACAAATTTAATCGGGAATCAGGTGGAGAGGTTTATTTCACAATGCCGAGGCTGCAGGTCGTAAGCCACAGAACCTGTTATTAAACATTTTCTTTGCTTGATTTCCTCAGAATATGTACCAACTTGATAATGTTTCTATTTGCAGTCAATTGCAATACAGTGTTTGGAGGCACTTGAATTTTTACATGGTCTTGGCCTAATACATTGTGATTTGAAGCCGGAGAATATTCTGGTAAAAAGCTACAGTAGGTGTGAAGTAAAAGTTATCGACCTTGGTAGTAGTTGCTTCCAAACAGATCATCTATGTTCTTATGTGCAATCTCGGTCTTATCGTGCACCTGAAGTTATACTGGGCCTCCCCTATGATAAAAAGATAGATGTATGGTCACTTGGATGCATCTTAGCGGAACTTTGCACAGGAAATGTAAGTTTTATCCAGAGTATTCTTTAACCAAGATTTTAAACATTTATTTCTTGGTTGAGTTACCCTTCTATAGAAATAGGGATATTCTGGCTTATCTAATTTTCACAAATAATGTTACCATGTATCACCCATGAATGCAGAATTTTAAGTCCTTAATCATTCACCTTGCACAGGTTCTCTTCCAAAATGATTCTCCTGCTACTCTACTTGCACGTGTGATAGGGATCATAGGTCCTATTGACCAAGTTCTGCTTGCAAAGGGACGAGAAACATACAAATATTTTACAAAGAACCACATGCTATATGAAAGGAATCAGGTACCAATTTTCACCTTTATCTTATAATTTGTTGAAATCACATGGAAGGAAGTAGCAGAATCGCAGGCCTATCATTATATACTCAGTTACATGAATTGTATTTGTTACTTGTAGAACTTCTTCACTTATGTTAATCAAGTACATATGTAATCGACATTTATAGTTTAATCTTTCTGGGAAAGAATATGTGTTCATGGCCTTAGCATTCTGGAACCATCTGATATTGATATTCAGTTTGTTAATGAAGTATTTATGTAATATATAAATAGACATGCGGATTAAGATTCTGAGAAAGAATGCATAGTCATGACTTATAGCACTCTGAGTTGTCGATATTCCAAATGTATTGGTGACCTTAACATGGTTTAGGCTGCGATGACATTCATTTCAGTCAAAAACTTGACATTCTTGAGAAAGAGAAGATAATGCCTCCTTTTTAATGGAGTAACTGATGTGAAAAACAGTGGTCGCATTTAAAATATGTGATGAATTCTTATAGCCAACTTCTCAGGCCAAGGTCTATTTCCCAGTCCGTACTTGCTATGTGAAATGCCTTTCTATTGGGCAGGCAGCTACTATTTTTCCCAAGTATACTTTTCGAAAAGTTCTGTATTTATATATTTATTTCCTAAATGATTAAATATATAGCTGGTGAAGCCTTTAGTTAATTGGTTTCTGGTTACATTACATGGGTGTTAATAGTTTGTATAAGAACTTCAGCTCGAAGTTTAAGAAATGAGCTGTTATTTTACCTTTTCTCAACTTATTATTTCAGGAAACCAGCAGATTAGAGTATTTGATCCCGAAGAAATCATCTTTGCGTCATCGGCTGCCTATGGGAGATCAGGGCTTTATTGATTTTGTTGCTCATCTTCTGGAGGTAAACCCAAAGAAACGTCCATCGGCAGCAGAAGCATTGAAGCATCCATGGCTCTCCTACCCATATGAACCCATATCATCTTGAATGGGGAGAGAGTCTACTGGTGAAAATATATTTCTTCGCCGCTTAAGCGGAATATGCTGAGCTGTACATTGGAGCTTCGGACGTTTAAAGATTGGGATTTTATCACTGATACAAGATTTGATTGGCCCCTGGTAGCAGGATTTTGTGTTGTAGTCTAAATTGAGCGATTCGTCTGTTGTAAGTCAAGAGCGTAATTTGGTGAGAATTACATGCTAACTGATCATTGGTTGTGGTTTTTTGGTGGAATGTGGGAGGTCATGTTTTGTGTATAGGATGTGATTATTGTTTTGGCCCCATTAATCAAATGTTTGGTGCCCAAAATCTTAGTGCATGTATTCTAGCCGTAGTCATCAAAGTGTATTCTCACATAAGAGCGGGCTGTATGTTTAACTTACTATTTTATTGTTTTGTTTTATATTTTCCACTGATTGGTTGGTATGAGTACTTGAGCTAAATATCATCAACTTTGTTATAGTAGTACTTGATGTCATGAAGTTAATGCTTTTCTCTCTCAACTTCTACACGCATCAAGAGCTACGCTAGCATTTTATTGCGGGTTTTCACTTACGTATGGGTCCGAAACATGCAAGCTGAATGGGTGTGGAATTTCATCTCAGAAAAAGATCGCTTCATTTCTTTGCACACGACACGTGGCATTTACTAACAGAATCAAGGGGCACGCTTCCCCAGTAACAACCGCCTAACTAATCCATCACCCTAACCGCCCAGCGCTCCCGGGCAGAAATGTAAAATTCTCTCACATCTCCGACACCATTTTCCCGCCAATTCCAAGATACTACGTAACTGCCTCGAACACAGACTCGTAATTCTGTCCAATTCCAAGGGCGTTATCGTCTGTTCACTGAAAAATGATTGTACGGACCAAGAATCTCGTAACTGCCTCATTCTCTCTATAAATACACCATCATCCCGTCGCTCTCTCAGCACACGCTCTCTCTCGCTTGAGCTTGCAATGGCGTCCTCATCCTCTCTCCTCTTCCTCCTCTCAATCCCCCTCCTCATCTCAGCCTCTTATCCTCTCCACTACGAGAGGACCTCCGTCGGTGCTTCTCAGTCACCGTCATCCGCCACCTCCCTCCTCTCTTCGATCCTCTCCAACCTAGGGTTCCAGGAGCTCGCCATGGTCGTCCCCTCCCTCTCCTCCCCCTCCACTGTCCTCTCCTCCCCCTTCTCCTCCTCAGTTACCCTCTTATCCTCCAAACTCAGCTTCAGCATGAAGCTCAAGATGATCTCCCCAAACCGCTGCCTCACCGTCACCTCCACCGTCGTTGGATCCGTCAACTCCGGATCCAACTCCACCGTCAAGATCTTCGTCGACGGAGTCGAGATCAGCCGTCCTGATCTCTTCAACGACGGCAAGATTGTGATCCACGGCATCCAGGGCTTCATCGCCCCACTCTCCCCCTTCTCCTGCCTCTTCCGACCGTTATCGCGCTGATATCGCTGCAGCTGGAGCTGGACCCGGCTGCCGGATCTATGGAGGTCGCTGCCGTGATGCTGCGAGACGCTATCGTGCGCCTCTCCGCAGCGGGAGGATACAGCATCCTCGCTCTGGCGATGCGGATCAAGGGCCCAGAGCTTGTTGGGCTCCAGAACATGACTGTGTTTGCGCTCGACGATCCGTCTATCTTCGGCGGAGGACACGCGTACATCACCGAGGTTAGGTTCCACGTGGTACCAAATCAGCTACTGATGCACTCAGATCTGGTGAGGCTGCCAGTTGGAACCGTGCTTCCAACGCTAGTAAGAGGTCAGCATCTTGTGGTAACTCAGGGCGGCATTTCGGAGCCGTTCGGATCGGGGCTAAGGATCAACTACGTGCCGATCAAGAACCCGGAGGTTGTATCGAACAGCAAGATCGTGGTCCACAGCCTGTACTTCCCGTTCCCTCACATGTACCTCGCTGATCAGGCGTATGCGATGCCGGTGGATTCTGTTGAAGGAATATTGGAGAGCTCCGATGCTGCTGTGGCCCCTGGCGTTGCCCCTGTCTGTGGATCTCCGGGGAGCCCCGGTGGCTGTAAGATGGCGCCTGCTCCTGCTCCTGCTCCTGCTCCTGCTCCAGCTGCTGTTTCTGGGCATTTGGTTGCTAATGCTGGACATGACGGTAGTCTCTGATTGATGACGTTTTCGGCTATTGTTGATTTGATGTTGTTTTGTCTGGATCTGAGTTTCTTTTTGTGTGTTTTTTTAGAGAATATGGCGAGAGGATCTGAGTTTCTTAATCCTTACGTTTTGTGTCTCCTTGCTGCGACGTTTGTTGTGTGTTCCGTTTAAAAATTGGGAAGTAGGTTGATGAGAATTGCTCGGATCGAGTTGATGTACGTCTGTGTGTTCTTGAATCTAGTCTTTCTTGAAAACTAATCGATCAATGGAATTGGTTATATCTGAAAAATGTTATACGTTTGTTTTTGGCGGGAAAATTCTTGAAGTGAGGTATGAAAAAGATGGATTTTGTAACAATCGATTTAATAACAGATGGCTGAATCTTTAAAAAAAAAGGGAAAAAAAGAAAAGAAAAAGAACAAAGGGTTAAGAGTAGTGTTCCCATATCTCTCTGTTACTTTTCTAGATAGAAGAGGATCCAAATCAATCTTTTGTTGGTACAAAAAAAAAAAAAAAACCAATCAATCAATATTTTGTACAGAAATGAAAAATAGAAATTACGAACTCAGAGGGTAGTGCTCCACCAAGAGCTAAAGATATAAGTCAGTGATCTTTTTGGGAAATGCAAGTACAGTATTCTGAGATTCTTAGCGTGGTCATGGGATTTTAAGGAAACAACAGGGGTACCGTACGTGTAGCCCACCGGTCTTCTGTGAAAAGTAATAATACGCGCATGACTTTAGTGATATTAATATAGTTAATGAACCAAGGGGCCGTGTAATTTACCCATTCTTTTCTTGAAGATGCACACTCTTCCCGACAAAAATAAAATATGGCATCAGGTATTTAGTAGGGATTATGTCAATGTAAATCAAGTTGTAAATTTTTAATTGAATTACAAATCTAGTTGTAAATTGTTATAAATCTTTTCTTGTTAATTGAATTGTGGTATTTAGTAAGGATTATGTCAACGTAAAATATTACAATATTGCTATATAGCATCAGATAGGCCTCTTATACGTAGTTTCTAGTCATACAATGCCTACTTTAGATCTACAGGCAATTATAAAAATTAATAGATAAAAAAACAGTATAATCTATCTGCTTGAGATATTTAGATGTGCTATCTGAAAGGAAAGAAAATGAACTTTTGAACATCTAATTAACTAATTGCATGGCCGGCCCTGATATTCTTAATTTTTCACGGGGCCCTAATCAAGCTTTCAAATGAGGGGCCTCTATATACAATATTCCATACACAAAAAAATTTATAAGATAGCAAAATATTTTTTATTAAAATGAGACAATAAACACATAATCGTATTAATATTAAAATAAAAAAACTTCTTGATGCTTTATAAATAACACAATTCATACTACATTAAATGTGATCGCCTTGCATTTTGAGCTGCAAAATTATTAATTAAAATGTTCTAATCATGCTTCGCCAATAAATTTTTTTCGATAGATATCATAGCCAATCCATTCAATCTCTCTTGTGACATTGTTGATTGTAGATAAGATTTGATGAGCTTCAACTTTGAAAAGCTTCTCTCGGCCGATGCAACTGTAATTGGTATTGTCAATAATACTCTATAAGCAATCCAAGCATTTAGAAAATAACAATTTAGCCTTTCCATAAAATTCAATACTTCAATTGTTTTTTTTTTTTGTTCCTCTTGGTAATGCTTCTCTTAAGATTTCGAGTTCTGAAAATAATTCTGTCCCATTAATATCAAAATTTTTATCATGCTTTAGGAGATCTTCAAGGTTAAGACATGGACACTTCAAACTATCATTATCTGTATATTTTAACCTCTCCAAATTAAATAAGAAACCAAAAGATTCATCATACTGTTGAAACTGTTCAAATCTACTCTTGAGTGAAGAAAGAGCTTGATCAACGATATATATGAAGTAATTGACTCTAAAGGATTCTTCAGCTATCATTGCCATCTCTTTACTATCATTTTTATCAAAATGTTTCTTTCTACGAATGATGCGACGTTCACGAAAAATATGTTCAACTTTCATTCTAACTGTAATTTCTTTAGCCTCAACCATAGCTGCTTCAAATCCATTTTCTCTATAGCTTTCAAAAAAAAAAAAAAATGAGCCCTCTTAAAAGGTCTATAACAACATCAATCTGCATATCCTCTGATTGCATGATTTTACTTATTTTGTTAATAGCATTCAAAATATCAAACCAAATAACCATACCAAGTAAGAACTCAAAATTCTCAATTTCATATGTTTCTAAGCACTCAGCATCACTTTTTGTCTTAGGATCTTCACTAGAACTTGCTAAATAAATCAAAGCATCTCTTATATCTGGAGCTTGGAATCTTATTGCTTTAACACTTTCAACTTAACCTTCCCAACGAGTTTGTGATGGTGGCTTAAGTGTGAAACCTTTAACATTATCTGTAAGAACTTTCCACCACTTTGTAGAAGATGCAAACAATGAATATATGTGCTGCACCACTCCGAAAAAAGATGAAGCTTGCGAATAAGAGTTTACCTTATCACAAAGCGTAAGGTTAAGACTATGACAACCACAAGGTGTGTAGAATGCTCTAGGATTTATCTCTAATAATCTTCTTTGCACACCTTTATGTTTTCCTTTCATATTAGAACCATTATCATACCCTTGTCCTCTTAAATCACCAATACCAAGTTTAAGCTCTTGCAAAATATTTACAAGTTCTTTAAAAAGTCCTCTTCGTGATGTATCATCCACCTTTAAAAATCCTAAAAAGAACTCCTCCATCTTTATTGGGTTTGTTGAAATATTCACGCATCTTAATATAAGTGACATTTGCTCTTCATGGCTTACATCCGGAGTACAATCAAGAATAACAGAAAAGTATTTTGCTTCGTTAATCTTTTGGATGATTAAACTTTTGATCTTATCTGCTATTCGAAGAATAAATTCATTTTGAACTTTGTGACTAAGATAATGATAATGAATTTCTTTTTCCTGAACTCGACGAACATGCTCTTTCATTATTGGATCAAATTCGGCAATCATTTCTATTATACTTAAAAAAATTCTATTATTTTCTTCATAAAGCTTCTCATTATCTCTACGAAATACCAAACTATTTTTAGCAAGTGTTTTCACAACAACAACTACTCTCAATAGTACTTTTCTCCAATACTCTCGTTCTTTGTTGATTTGTTCTTCAACACTTTTATCGATTGTCGCATTTTGTCGTAATCTGATCTCTAATTCAATCCAACTCTTCATGTTAACAATGTGTTCACTACTTGTTTCATGACTTTTAAGTCCGGCACTGAGATTTCTCCAGTCTCTAACTCCATCATTTGCCAATTGAATTTTGTTTGCATCATATTTGAACAACTTACAACAAAAACAAAAAACCTTGTCCAAAGAATTTGAATAGATTAGCCATTTTCTATCATGATGTTCACCATTGGATAAGTTACGAATGTAATGTGTTGAGGAGAAATGTCTGTCTTCTGAATATTTTGGAAAATCAAGATTATCATTTCTTTTGGGATCTCTTTCAACTAGTAAGTCTCTCAATCTTTGATCAATATTTTTTTAATTTCCTGGGTCATTTATGTTTGAAGGCCTTCTTTCAAGGTTTTCTTCTTGTACCAAATCTTCATGTTCATTTACATTTTCTTCATGTTCATTTACATTGCTATTCTCATTCAAATTTCTATTCTCATTGGAATCTTCATGTTCTTCACATTCTTCAATGGAATTTCTATTCTCATTCAAATTTTTATTAACCAAATCCTCGCTTTCTTGATTTTTAGGTTGCTCATTTTCAACATTCGCCGAATCTTGAACTAAATTAGAATATGTATTTCTACTACAAGTAATAAAATTTTCAAGTGCTCCTGCTTGAGATCGAATTCTTCAATTTTTTGTTTCTTTATCCGCTTATCATGCCCAGACATATATTTTCGAGGAGGCATGATATCCAAATTTAATTCTGAATCTGCTACAATCTAATAAATATCGAGAAAAATAAATTAATCAAGAATTCCTACCAAAAGCATGTTAGGGACTAAAATATATCAAATATTTAAATTGAAATTTGAAATTAAACAACAAAATCTAGTGAGAACTAATTACAATTTCAATTTTAATTTAGGCCCTAATCAATTTCAATTTCAATTTCACAAAATCCTAATTCCTAAACCCTAATTCCACCAAGCCCTAATTCCTAAACCCTAGTGAGAATTGAGAACTTACAGATAAATCAAAATATCTACATCAATTCACGATCTTGTCAAAAGGAGCATAGAAGTGAAGAAGACAAGAAGTGAAACCCTAACCTGGCGGGCAAGAGCCGAGAGGGAGGAGGACAAGCCGACAAGGACGGGACACAGGAGGAAGATCCGAAGATTGGAAGAAGAGAGAGGTCAGAGAGAGATAGGGTTTTCAGTTTTTTTTTATATGTGAGAGTGGCCCTGGATACAGAGGACAGGTTGAAGATAGGGGTGGTTTTGTTGTGTATTTATGCTATTAGAACCCTCTAATAATTTTGCACAAAAATCCTCTTGCTTTTTCATATATATATATCTATCTAAAATGGGGCCCTTGTTTTTTGGGAGCCCTAGGCGAAGGCCTCTCCCGCCTATGCCCAGAGCCGGCCCTGACTAATTGAATAAGTTCCACGCATACCTATTAAACCTATTGGAATGAATATAACAAAGACGAAAAATCTTGCTTTATAACTTGATATGTTTTTACTGAGCCTATGCATACACACTAAATATAAGTTAACAAATAACGTCGATCTTATCTCTAAATTAGGTGATAATTAGAAATAATCTAACTGACCCAATTCTCTTTATTTCAATATGTCACATATGATGTTCAATATGATAGCGCTTTTTATAATAATGGTTTTCGAGATAATGATGATTTTCAAGATAGTAGTGTAAACATGACATCATGATGTAATCTCATACCTTAAGTTTGAGTTAGATACTTAAAGTTGTGGTAATTAGACTCTCTTCAATCCTCACGTGATTGGAGGACCCCGATCCATTAATTGGAGAAGATCCGGATTACAGAAAAACTTCTACGGTATATCGATAAAAATTCCTCATGCTTGAAGGAAAGGAATAATTAGAAAAAAAAGAAAATTCAATTGAATGTAAAATTTGCAGACATCCAACCTACACGGTTTGGTCGCACCAAACCCGATCCACTCACGTGCCACAGAAACCAAACAGAGGGCCTTGCTTAAAGTGTTCCGTCGTGCCAACATAAATAATCCTACACCAAACCAGAAGACAAATTAAAAGCGAGTTGGTCATCTCCCCTCCCGTGGCGTGAAGAGCATTGCTTCTCGTAGTTAATTATGCTCCCCCACTAAGCTCCCATTCTTGTCTCTCACTCTTAACAATAAATCTCAATTCTTAGTCCCTTCTCTCTCTCTCTCTCTTTCTCTCTCTCTCGCGCGCGCCCGCGCATCAGATCAAAGAAGAGGGAGGAACGATAAATGGAGAAAATGTCGGTCTCTTTGGTAGCGGTTCTGCTTCTGTGTCTCGGGGTCGGCCGAGTCGTATCGGACGCATCGAATCACCGATACAAGTCACAGGATCCGGTACCTTTCTACGTCAACAAGGTCGGTCCTTTCCATAACCCTAGGTAACGACCTCTCATCCAAAGCAAAACTGATCCAGATCTTTAGATTTTGTCTACTTCCGTTCCATTCCAGAAATTTCTAGGGTTTTGTGGAGTGATCTTTGAACCCGTTGGGAGTCATCAAGTTTTGATCCTAATTTAGGAACTCGAAAGTTACAGATTTAGTTTCTGAAGGGAATTTAACCGATAGTCAATAAAGATTACGATAAATGTAAACTTTAGTTCCTTTGGGGTGGACATTGCGTGTTGGTGATTGGCATTGTCAGATTTATGGAAATCTCAACTTTTAACAGGAATAAGGAGGTTCCTTTTCTGAAATTGTTGAAAATTGGGGTGTTCTTGACTCCTTTTTGGAAAATTAAGTTTTTTTTTGATGTACATTTGCAACAATTTCCTCAAAAAATATTTGCGACAGTTTCTTATCATCTTTTGGAATTTTCATTGTCAAGTTATTGCATTTATTATTTTGCAATTGAAAGTAAGGCAATTATTATTATTATGATTATTTTGGTATAAGTAAGGATGAGCCCATTCCCTTAAAAAGTTAAGGTGAATTCAGATAAATCTAAGTAATATGGGAATTCTCAACTTTTACATATTATTTAGCATTTATTTGCATGAGTTTTTCCAGTTTGCTGGAAAAATTATCTAGATAACTCATTATGACAGAATTCAGTGCATTGATCGCAAATCTTCAACATTCATAATTGATTTATTTTGTTGATATTATATAGACTTTTCAGTTTGTAAATCTTTGATTCAAAAAAGAATAACATATCTATTTGTTTGTCATGATAATGCTACATGCACTGATTCTAACTGTTCTCTATTTCAGTGAGACATATCGATATTTTGATCTCCCTTTCTGTGCTCCAGGTTGGTTTCCTGTTCTTATGTTGATATGTCTAGTCTTATTTTAACTGTCATTTTCTAGTATTTTGTTTTTTTAAACGCATATAAAACAGGACATGTTCATGACAAATCGGAAGCCCTTGGTGAAGTTCTAAATGGTGACAGGCTTGTTGATGCTCCATACAAGCTTGATTTCCGAGTTGACCAGGACTCAAAATTGGCATGCAAGAAGACACTCACAAAAGAAGAGGTAGCCAAATTTAGGAGTGCCGTCATGAAGGACTACTACTTTCAGATGTACTATGATGACCTCCCCATCTGGGGATTCATTGGAAAGGTGGACAAGGAGAACAAAATTGATCCAAGCGACTATAAGTACTACCTTTACAGGCATATCCACTTTGAAATCTTCTATAACAATGATCGAGTGATTGAGGTCAACATCCATACAGATGCAAGTTCACTATTAGATGTTACTGAAGACAGAGATGTGGAGGTTGAGTTCTTATATTCAGTGAAGTGGAAGGAGACAACCACACCATTTGAGAAGAGGATGGAAAAATTTTCTCAGTCTTCTTCAATGCCTCACCATTTGGAAATCCACTGGTTTTCTATTGTAAATTCATGTGTCACGGTTCTTCTTTTAACAGGATTCCTCGCTACGATCCTGATGAGGGTTTTGAAGAATGACTTTGTCAAGTGAGTAGTATTTCTAAGCTAAGCTTTTTATTCTTTTCTTGTGCGTACGTGCTGGGTTTCGGGTGCGTAGGTTAAATCTTATGGACCATTACGGAAATGGTTGAACTTTCCTAGAATTTGGTTTCTATGAATTCAAATAACTAGTAAACTGACGTATGTATTGTAGACTTTAAACCGTTAGATGGTGTCCCAGTTTTATTTGGTCAAACTTGTCCTTTGGTATTAATTTGAAAAGCTGATGAAAAAGTGACGTTAGTGAAAGTTATGTTACATTACTTTAAAAAAATCATGGTTGTTAACTATTACAATGATCTTGTGAAAAACCAAACCAGTTGATCATGCCCTGAAATGTGTTATTATGGTTAAGGTCTCGTGAAATTCAATGTGAAGTGTGTTTAAACCGTCTATTCTAGCTGTATAACAGCGGACAAAGAGAGTAGCACACCATGAGTTTGTTATAAATGAATAGTAATTAATTATCAAGGCAATGTTTGTAGTTGGGAAGTTTCTCTGTTTTCTCTTAATTGGATTCTGGAAGGCTGTGTTTAGATGTTTCTGATTAGGTATTTGAAAACTGACATGCATAAAGCATATAATGTACCAATAGTATCCTATAATAGCACTATCGGTTATGAGTGTGATCTCTAGCAAATGGAAGTCCTACTGTATATGGCAAATTTAGTTCTTATATATGAATACCTATTATTTTAAGAACATTATCTAGTGATTCTATATTTATATGCTAGGACATTGTTCCTATGGTTCGGTATATGTGCTTACATCTGATAGCTAAGTCTTCTGGTGCATGTGATGTGTTTATGAAGTAGTGGAACGTGAGGGTGGGTTTTTTCGGAATTTTCTAAATTTGCCCCTCCCCTGTGTTTTAAAGTATTCCAAATTGTGAGTGCATTTCTTTGAGTGTTTAAAAATGTGATTCACATAACTAAAAGGCTAGTTTTTTTAACAATAGTAATATTATGCATTAAAAGCTTTTAAGACTAGATACAACTCGTATAATCATATAATTCATATGACTTATTCTAGAGTTAGCAACATATATCATCAAGATGTCATTGTTGGCAAAGTTGGCTCCTACATAGCTTTACTGACATACCGACATGTGACACAGGCATGATACTTTCCCCAATCTTGTAAAGTATGATTGTTGGCATTGTGGATAGAGGAAATGAAGTAGTAGGAAGTGATTAGGATTCCATTATATTTGTATGACAATTAATACTAGGCATAGACATGTAGGATAATCTTATATAATAATGATATATACTTACATTTTGAAACATGAGAAAATTAGAATAAGTTATGAATTATTCATTGTGTAATTTATCTTATAAAATAGATGCTCATATTTTCTTGACAGTAATTCACTCATATTTTCTTGACAGTAATTCATACTTCATTATATTTCATAATTAAAGGTATGCTCATGATGAGGAAGATGCTGATGATCAAGAAGAAACTGGGTGGAAATATATTCATGGTGATGTCTTTAGATACCCTAAGAGCAAGTCCTTATTTGCTGCTTGCCTTGGTTCTGGCACTCAGCTGTTTGCGCTGTAAGTGTTTTTCAATTACTTTGAAGCCTGTGTATATTTATTTGAACCTTTTATATATTGGAGTTATTGATAATACGTATTCTATCGAAGCTGTTACTCATTTTTCTGGACAAACCTTACTCCTATTCTTGGTTTACTTGCAGTACAATCTTCATTTTCATTCTTGCACTAGTAGGTGTATTCTACCCCTACAACCGAGGAGCTCTTTTTACTGCACTGGTGGTCATCTATGCACTTACTTCAGGAATTGCTGGGTATACTGCGACCTCTTTCTATTGTCAGCTTGAGGGAACAAACTGGGTATGCTGCGTGCATTTTACTGAACTCACAACTATATATTTTCATACACGACTTTCATTAAGTGGAGTACCATCCCACTAAACATCTAAGCGGACATATCTTACCACAAATTCATGTTTAACATTGTTAGTCATATTGATTTCTAATTTCTAAAGGTTTTTTACCTTTTCTGGCTGGCAGGTGCGGAATCTAATCTTGACAGGATGTCTCTTTTGTGGACCTCTATTTCTGACTTTCTGCTTCTTGAATACCGTTGCCATTGCATATAATGCTACTGCAGCACTGCCATTTGGCACTATCGTTGTTATTTTTCTAATATGGACTCTGGTAACCTCCCCTTTGCTTGTCTTGGGTGGTATAGCTGGTAAAAACAGCAAGGCAGAGTTCCAGGCTCCTTGTCGCACTACCAAGTATCCTAGAGAAATTCCACCATCGCCTTGGTACCGAGGAGCTATTCCACAGATGGCGATGGCTGGTTTTCTTCCTTTCAGCGCAATCTACATTGAGCTATACTACATATTTGCTAGTGTGTGGGGCCACAAAATTTACACTATCTATAGCATTCTCTTTATAGTCTTCATCATTCTGCTTATTGTCACTGCTTTTATTACCGTGGCATTGACTTACTTTCAGCTTGCTGCGGAAGATCATGAGTGGTGGTGGAGGTAATCAATTCAATTCTCTTTTCTTCTGGGTTATTGCATCCATGCACCTGCACCTGCATATACAAGATATGTACTTATGATGTCTAATATCATGTTTAATTTATTCCCCCCCTCTTGCATTTTCTATCTGTTGATGCTTGCTCAACTATTACTTGGCCATTCAATAAACTACTACTCCTGGTTTACTTAATGTTTTTAACCTATGTACTCTACATGTTTGAATGATAAGCATCATTTACTCATGTGCTATATTTTTCACTTTCTTGGCCCCTAAAGCTGTGAAGGTGCAAATGCTCTGAATTGTATTCTTTGTTCCACTGCCATTTTGAAGATTCACAATCCTGAGGTTTTATGTGATTGTTCAACCTTCCATGCTAACATATGCTATGCAGCCTTCTATCTATATCTAGAAAGTATATGATATTTCTCACAGGCATTGCTGTCCTTATCTGTCCATGGTCCGGTATCTTCTCCCAACAGATTAGACGTGTGAAGGGTAAGTATCTGATACCACTGTCTTAATTCCACCTCGCCCCAACCCAATCAACCCCACCTTGCCAACCCCCACCCTGCCAAACCCTCCACGCCCCCACCCCGCTTCTCTTACATGCACATACAAAAACCTAGGCACACATGCAATGAACACCTCTGACTCACTTACAAAAATACATCCAAGTAACCTCTACAGATGAATCCTCCACAACATATGAGACAGATGCTTTCCTGATAAGGAAACATGCATGTTACTTCCTGGTTGTACTGCTTTTCAACAGCACAAATACGTAGGCCTTTGACTTATAAACGTCAGATGCCTTCCTTTGGATCTATGTTACAGGTACAGGTGGGGGAGTGGGTTGGATAGATGACAAATTTGTAAAAGGTTGACTACAGGGACACAACTATTACATATCCAATATTGAAATTAATAATTTACATCAGATCGATTTTGTTTTTTCGTTCACATGTTATGAAAACTAAATTTTCTATAATATTTTAATGTTTCTTTTACTAAGTGGATTATAAATTGGAAAATTGCTTGAATTAGATACCTAAACGATCCTTTAAAATCATACATTTGAACTGGGTATGGGCTGAAACGAACTTAATACATGTCCAGTGAGTTGAAGGAAGTGGACATGAAGTGTAAGATATACCACCAAGAAGTATATAATGAGTGTTTTAAACTAAAACATAAATTATGTAATTGAGTACACGGTTGAATAAATGTATACATATTCAAGGAGTGTCCAGGGAATGTCAGAGTCGGACACGTGTCGACACGGGTATTGGAATTGCGATGAGGTGTTAGGGTAACTTAGTGACAAATGGCAGGTGGTATGAGGTGGCCAGAGGTTCAAGGTCACATTGCCGTTTTTCTTTAACCTCTACAATGAATAATCTACCCTCTAGTTAATATCTTTAACTTCTGTATTAGGTTTTTCGGGGATTCTTTTCTTCACTGGGGAATTTAACAGTGGATACAGTGATATCTGGTCATGGTGAACATTTTATTCTCTAAGGAGATGTGTGATATATCAGGGGTCCCTGGAAAGTTTGAAAGGTGATGATATAAGATTAGTTTAAAGTATATGTACTAATGAATATGTACCTCCAATACTGTCCTTAGCTAGCTGTTTGTTTCTTGGTTTGGTGGTCTACCTGTAATCTTCAAGGTTTTTGTTCACTAGGAATCTTCTCAGCATCAACATTCATTTCAATGCTATGCAAAGGCACGAAGTAGCGGTCTTTGGATCTCTCTCTTCAGGCCAATAAGCCTGAGACAGTTTTTGGCTTAAAAACACCTTTGAAAACACACACACACACGCACGCACACCACACATGCACGCACGCACACAAGGGCCATAAAACAAATCCACAAGCTAACAATTTCCACAATCTGATACTGAATTGATATTCAGCTTGCTAGTCTTTCTTGATAAATAAAGCCGAATAGATGGGAACTCGTCCATCGTATCTCAAATTTCTTGGTCATGAATTGTAGTCTTTTGGGTGATTAAACTCAGATATGCACACACTCTTTGTCATCTGTTATGATCATCTTCCTTTTGATATGAATAAATGTTCGATTCGGAGCAATGCCAAATCTTAATTCAACAAGTGATGTTGGTCTTTTTCGTCTTCTAATCTTTCCTCTTATCTCCTCCTTATGTACTTCTGCTTCCTCTCCCTCATCTTCATGTATACTCTATATCTATATCCTCTAGTTAATAAATTATTTGCGCATCTTATCTGGGTTACTCAAAAAAATTTAAAAAAAAATGTGAAGTCTCCGTAAGTGTGATTGTTCAGATGATTCAATCGCAGGTCTTTCCTATGTGGGGGATCAACTGGACTATTCATATATGGATACTGCTTGTACTACTATAATGCTCGATCAGACATGTCAGGCTTCATGCAGACCTCATTCTTCTTCGGCTACATGGCTTGCATCTGCTATGGTTTCTTCCTCATGCTTGGGATGGTAGGGTTCCGAGCATCCCTCTTTTTCGTCCGTCACATTTACAGATCCATCAAGTGTGAGTAGCCACTCAATTGAGCTTCAATGCATAAGCTTTGCTGGCGATGGATGGGATCAAGCAGTTTCCATATGCAGCTGCTTAGGCTTTTCTGAGTTCTTGGGACCAACTCATCGTACTTGCTTCGTCACTCTTGTTCTAAAGAGTTCGTACACGCACCCACAATTATGGACTTGTTTCTTTTTTCTTCTTCTCTCTTTTTTTTTTCACTATACAAACTGATTGTTAGGTCTAAGCTATGCGTGTTTTATCTGTTGTGCATTAAGGTTATATTAAGGTTATGCAATATCTATTATATAGCTTCAGTTGAAATCTGGATGTGATATGAAATCAGCCCTTCCTCCCTTCCTGACGGAATAAGATCAAAAGAAAAGCTATTGTTTATCTTTTGGTGTTTTCCAATATTTACAGGACGTTACCCCTAAATATAAGCAAAATAAGTGCATTTGAATTCTGTACAATGTGATTTTATACAATATAATCTCTCCGTGGAAAGAAGAAAATCATGTTAAAAGAAATATCTCCGACGTCTTCCAAGGTGGGGTAGGAAATAGCTATGGGTATGCACACGGCCTTTTTTTTTTAAGTAACACCTTTAGGTATTATAAGTAATTTGTTAGCACTGCAGATGACTTAATTCTGAACACCATAGTGAGCACAGTAACATGAGAACAAGGGGTGTAAACGGATTAGATACGGGTCGGATATGATACTTATCATATATCCGTATCTGCTTACTAATTATAGATATCATCTTACGGATACAGATGACACGATATGCACTGATAAGTAAAACTCTTATTATATCCGCTAAAATCAGATACAGATACGGTTACGGATATAGATATAAATGTGGATATATATGCAGATACAAAATGACTATGAGAAAACAAAATAATATTGAAAAATATTTAGTTTGTACTATACAATAGAGTTTATTAATATGTTTGTCATATCTGAAAAACTAAGACTATATTTTTTGATCATCAAAGTATGTCTCAAATCTATCAATCTAAGGATTAATACATTTGCAATTGTATGAGCAACATATATTCAGATACTTAGATATGTATCCAGATATTTTATTGTACTAGTTGAGACGCACGTGCAATCAACGAGGTTGAATATCATGATTATGTAAATTGATAAAATAAAATAAAAATAAAAAATAAAATAAAGTTTTCTTGCAGGATTAATCATCAACTCAATCTATTTTAAATAAAATATTATCATTGTTTCCTTCAACACAGACTGTCGCCACGTGATCTACTATTTGTGAGTTATAAACACATTGATCTAGTATAATATCTTTGTTTATTAGTATGTTGGAGACTTTAAAAGATGTATGATCATTCAATTTGCAAAGAAATTTTGCATATGAATTTACTTACAATATGTCCATTAAACTTTTAGTTGTGGTTTGACTCATATTCACATTAACTTTTAATTATGGTTTCACTCATACTTATATTATGTAATATTCTCATTAAGTTTATAGCTCATTTTCCATACAATAGAAGTAAAACTAAAAGTATAAAGAATTATTATATTTTTTGTTAAATTAGAGCAGTGGGATTATGATATATTTTGCTATGTGCTCTAAATATAATAATTTTTTCCTTTGATGCAAGGTCCCTATCAAATCTTACCCCAAACGATATGAATGAAAATACTATTATAACTCACTTGTCTGGGGCAATTTTCTTGTATATAGGACAAGTACAATAGTCCCGTGTATTTTTTGGTTCTGACTACAAAATACGCAAGATTGGTAGTCCCGTGTATTTTCTGACTCTAATTACTTTTATAATTAATAGTCGCTAATTAAACGGGACTATTCTCGTGTATTTTAAAGATGATTTTTTACAAAGTTAACCTCTTTTTTGCCAGTCTTGATGATGTGGCAAAAAGAGGTCAATTTTGTTAATTATTATGTAAAATAATCGCTTTTGCTAATACTTTTATAAAGTGATATTTTAAAAATTCTCCTAAAATAAACTGTTAATTTAAACTATAAAATGGGCGAAAATACCTAAACATTCTGGTGAATAATTGACCTATAAATAGGGGAAAATGATAATTAAAATAAAAGTATAGTTAAATTGAATCTAACAAGGTATTTCACAGAATGAAGCAGGAAATGGATCCAAGAATTATTAAAAAAGAATAAAAGAAACTAATTTAAAAATATGAGATCAAGGGATAGAGGAAAAGAAGATCTCACCAACATGAATTTTATTTCTCTCCGAACAAGACAACAAAACTGGTGGAGAACTATTTCTCTCCGAACAAGACAACAAAATTGGTGGAGAATGAGCAAGGAGAAAGTGAACAGAATAAGTGACAAAGTAGACATGCTTATATAATTAGGTTATTAAGATATTTGTCTTGAAATCTTAAATACATACATATTAGTCTCTAACATCTCTGTAATTGCTCATTTACAATGATATTACTATAGTTGACTCACAAAATAGGTTAACTTTACACTGTGGCTTGCTATTGGTAATACTGTTGGCAATACCATTACCTTTTCACTTTATTTTATTATTCACGCTTTTTTTATGTAAGTCCTCTTTTGTTAATCACTCAATTGGCTATATTGAGTTTTTATAATATCAGATGTTAGAATATTTTTTCATCTGTTTAAAAAGTATTGACATGATTTTCTTAAAAAATATATACACATAGTAGCAATTATATAAACTTCGGTTCAACTCAAACATTAATTTGAAGTCATTTAGAGTGAGGTCCTTTCTACGCTAGAATTATGATAAAGTGATTACACAATCCAAAAGTCAAAGAAGAAATTTATACAAGGGAAAAGTAATTTAATATATCAAATTAAAAAGTAATTAATAAAATATACATGAACAGTGCAGATAGCTATAGAAAGTAACATATATATTTTCATAAAAATTCTATAGTAAGTGACCAACTAATCACCCTAATTTAAGTATAAATAATTATTATTTTAGTTACTAATTTCATATGCGTAACTATGAAATGTATCTCAAGCAAAAAATAGGAATTGAGATTGTATTATCCTGTAGGTAGATAAATAAATGTTATTAGAGCTCCTCTTAAAAATAAGAATTGAGATTGTATTATCCTGTAGGTAGATAAATAAATGTTATTAGAGCTCCTCTTAAAAATAGGAATTGAGATTGTATTATCCTGTAGGTAGATAAATAAATGTTATTAGAGCTCTTTTTTATATTAATTTAAAAGTAATAATTTAAATTATTAAGCACTAAATATTACTTCATGCGAGAAAGCAAAGTAATTTATGATCTATATACATATATAGTCAATCAATCAAACGTATCAAAATTATAATGATCACAGTCAAAATTATATGGTGTGTTCACATTAAATATAATTTATAAAAAATAATACATTAAAATCAAAATCCTTTTAACCACTATATAGATTGTCTGAAAATTTTTACATATATAAATCATACCACCTACGAATAATGATATGCACACTTAACTATGACTTAATATATTTTAAGAACTACTTACTCTTCAATATCATCATCAATTAACGTATATATGCATTACACATAAAACACAATGAAAATTTAGAAAATTATAAAAGAAACGCCCTCAAAATTTTAAAAATTATAAGAAAACACCCTAAAATTTTGTAATTTATAAATATACAAAACTATTAAATATTACATTGAAATCAAGGAACTACAAAAAATTTTTGAAAAATTTTAAATTTTGGAAGGGTAATTTGCAGTATACTAAACTTTAAAGATGTTTTTTATAAATTTTAAATTTAATAAAATTTTAATTAGCTATGTTTTTTTTAAAAAAAAGTTATGAGTAATATTCACCATGAAAAGTTTTCTCTAAACCTATACTTTTCAAGGGAGTGTGATATTTTTTTTACAAATATTTAGAATTTTAGGGGTTATTAGTAATTTTATTTATTCATTTTAGTGTCTATAGGTTAGAAATTCACATGGTGTTTTTTTATAATTTATTAATATTAGGGTTTTTTTTGTAATTTTTAAACTTATAGGCCTTTTTTATAGATTGTAAATTATTTGCAGACTATTTATAATTCCTATGTTTTCAATTTACTAATGAGTTTGAAATTCTTAGGATGTTTTTTGTAAAATTTGAATTTTGATTGTTTGTTTGTAATGTTTAAAACTTCAAGTGTATTCTCTATAAATTATAAATTATGTATGGGATATTTGTAACTCCTATATTTTCAATGCATTGTTAGGTTGGATATTATTATGGTTTTTGTAAATTTTATAAATTTGAGGGTTTTATTTTGCAATTAGCAAAAGTCTAGAGTGTTTATTTCAAATTTCATAAAATTTTTGGGGTTGTTTGTGTATTTTTTTAGATTTTTAATAGATTAATAGGTTTAAAATTTTTAAGGTGTTTCTTATAAATTTTAAAATTTTATATAGGAGTGTTTTCTTATTTTTTAAAACTTACAAGATACTTTCTCCAAAGTCAAAAACTTTTAGTTTTTAGAGAGCATATGTTTTCAGATTTCTCACTGAATTAAAATAAGTAAAATTTATAATTTTTAAAATGTTTTAATAAAATTTTGAATTTGTATGGATGTTTTTATAATTTAAAAATCTTGGAGGATATTTTTTACAAAGTCTAAAAACTTTTAGTTGCTGCCTAGCATATGTATTTTAGATTTCTCTGTGAACTGAAATAAGTAAAGGATTTGAATTATATCAAACGTATCTCATTTATCCAATAATATGTTAAGTCTCATTATGAATGGCATAAGTTATTTAATTAACAATTCAAAGAAAATAGGATAATTAGAATAGATTAGGATAATAATGTATTATTTAAAAAATGTTAAGGGTAATATTGACTATGGAAAGATTTTTCCGAATTCGTACTTTTAAATGATACTAGTTGAGATGCACATATAATGTACGTGGTTGAATATCATGAGTTGAGATGCATGTGCAATGCACATGATTGAATATCATGATTATTTAAATTGATGAAATAGAGTAAAAATAAAAACAGAAAATAATTTTTTTTATGGGATTGATCATCAACTCAATAATCTCTCTCTCAAATAAAATATTATCATTGTTTCCTTTAATCCAGACTGTGGTCACGTGATCTACTATTTATGAGTTAAAAATATATTAATATAGTACAACATCTCTATTTATTAGTATCTTGAATTTTTCAAAAGATGGATGATCATTCAATTCGCAAATAAATTTTGCATATGAATTTACTTCTAATATGTCCATTAAACTTTTAGTTATGATTTGATTCATACTCACTTTAACTTTTAGTTGATGTTTCACTCATATTTATATTATCTAATATTCTCATTCAATTTTATAGCTCATTCTTTAGTTGATGTTTCACTCATATTTATATTATCTAATATTCTCATTCAATTTTATAGCTCATTCTCTGTATCATAGAAGCATTCAATTTTATAGCTCATTCTCTGTATCATAGAAGTAAAACTGAAAGTATAAAAAATTATTTTCTTGTAATTAGAATAAGGAGATTATGATATATTTCGCTATGTGCTCTAAATATATTTTTTTTCCTTTGATGCAATGTCCCTATCAAATCTTACCACAAACGATGTGAATAAAAAATACTATTATAACTCACTTGTCTAGGGCAATTGTATTGTATTTAGGATACGTAACTCATCTGAAATATCCATATCTCCTAAGTGGATTTTGCTATTGTCAGAGCAACATTTTAGAGGCTCGTATTCAAACTTTTTGGCTCTATAAAAGACACAATAAGTTAGACCGCATAGCTTATATATCATAAAGAACATATCGATTCATGAAATTTTTTCCTAATAATGATATTATTACAACAATATTACTATTCAATATTTTAAATCAATTTTATTATATAAGATTATATTACTATTTTTAATAAATTATAAAGTATATATATGGAAACCCGATGCTTATAGCTAGTAGTTGGGCTTCACAAAATAGGTTAACTTTACATTGTAGTTTGCTATTTATAGTACTATTGACAATACTATTACCTTTCCTCTTTATTTTATTATTCACACTTTTCTGATGTAAGTTTTTTTTGCTAATCATTCAATTGGTTATATTTAGTTTTTATAATATCAGAGGTTAGAATATTCTCTTCTATTTAAAAAGTGTTGACATATTTTTCTTAAAAAATATATACACATAATAGCAATAGTATATACTTTAGTACAACTCGAATATTGGCTTAAAGCCATTTAGAGTGAGGTCATTTCTATGCTAGAATGGTGATATAGTGATTACACTGTCTAAAAGTCCAAGAAGAAATTTCTATAAAGAAAAAGTAATTTCATATGTCAAATTAAGAACTAATTTATAAAATATATATGGGCAGTGTATATAGCTATAGAAAGTAATATATATATATATATATATATATATATATATATATATATATATATATTCATAAAAATTTCATAGTGCGTAACCAACTACAATCATTCTAATTTAAGCATAAATAATTATTATTTTAGTTACTAATTTGATACAAGTAATTATGGAATAAATCTCCAGCAAAAAATAAGAATTGATATTGTTTTATGTTGTAGGTAATAAATAAATGTTATTAGAGCACCTCTTTATATTAAATTTAAAATAATTTAAATTATTAAGCACCAAATATTAGCTTTTGTGAGAAAGTAAAGTAATCTTTGGTCTATATACGTATATAGTCAACCAATCAAACGCATTAAAATTATGATGACCATAGTCAAAATTATATAGTGGGTTCATATTTAATATAAGTTGTAAAAAATAGTACATAAAAATCAAAATCTTTTTAACTACTATATAGATTGATGAAATTTTTGTATATATAAACTATACTGCCTAGAAATAGTGAAGTGCACACTCAACTATGCTCTATAATCTTAAGAACGACTTATTCTTTAATATCATCATTAATTGATGTATATGTGTATTATACTAAAAACACAATGAAAATTTAGAAAACTAAAAATTAAATACCCTCAAAAGTTTTAAAAAGTGTAAAAAAACACCCTAAAATTTATAACTTCCAAATATACAAAACTATTAAACATTACATTGAAATAAATAAATTACAAAAAATCATTGAAATTTTTTAAACTTTGGAGGGGTAATTTTCAATGTACTATACTTTAATGATGTTTTTTTTATAAATTTCAAATTTAATAGATTTTTAATTAGTTATGTTATTTTTTAAAAAATTATCATTAATATTTACCATGAAAAGTTTTTCCTAAACCTATACTTTAAAAATGTGTATGATATTTTTTACAAAATTTTAATTTTCTAGGGGTTGTTAGTAATTTTTCATATTCATTTTAGTGTCTATAGATTAGAAATTCTCATGGTGTTTATTTGTAAATTATCTAGGACTACATTGATTAGTAATTTTTGCAATATTTTGTCTATAGATTAGTAATTTTGCATATTTTTTTATAAAAATTTAATTTCCTAGGGGTTGTTAGTAATTTTCCTAAACCTATATTTTTTATAATTTTTTAAACTTATAGGTCTTTTCTACAGATTGTAAATTGTTTATAGACTATTTATAATTCCTATGCTTATTTTTTAAACTTATAGGTCTTTTCTACAGATTGTAAATTGTTTATAGACTATTTATAATTCCTATGCTTTCAATTAACTAACAACCCCTAGAATTACAGATTGTAAATTGTTTATAGACTATTTATAATTCCTATGCTTTCAATTAACTAACAACCCCTAGAATTTTTTTAAATTGTTAGTAATTTTTTAAACTTTTGAAAATTTTAGGGTGTTTTTTGTAAATTTTAAAATTTAAATGTTTGTTTGTAATTTTAAAACTTTAAGGGTGTTTTTTATAAATTATATAAGGGATATTTATAATTCCTATATTTTTAATGTACTATTAGGTCAGAAATTATCAGGATTTTTTGTAAATTTTATAATTTTGAGGGTTTTATTTTGCAATTTGTAAAAAGTTTAGAGTGCGTATTATAAATTTCATAAATTTTTGGGGGTTGTTTGTGTTATTTGTAGGTTTTTACTATGTTTATAGGTTTGAAAATTTTAAGGTATTTTTTATAAATTTTGTATTTTGAGAGGTGTTTTTGTAATTTTTAAAACTTACAAGATATTTTCTCCAAAATCAAAAAACTTTCAGTTTCTAGTTAGCATATATTTTTTAAATTTCTTACTGAGTTGAGATAAGTAAAATTTATAATTTTTAAGATGCTTTAATAAAATTTTGAATTTGTAGGGACGTTTTTACAATTTAAAAAACTTGGAGAATATTTTTTACAAAGTCTAAAAACTTTTAGGTGCTGGCTAGCATATGTTTTTTAGATTTCTCTATAAACTGAAATAAGTAAATGATATGAATTATATGAAATGTGTTTATTTTAGCCAATAACATGTTAAGTCTCATTATGAATAGAATAAATCATTTTGTTACCAATTTAAAGAAGATAGGATAATTAGAATATAATATTAAAAAAAATAAGGGTAATATTAACCATAAAAAGATTTTTCCTAACTCGTACTTTTAAAGGGAGTATGATATGATATATGATAATTATATTTGTAATCATATCATATCAGTTACAAATAATAATAGCTATATCCGTATCCTAACAGATATAGATATGGAGTATCCGCGGATGTTTATATTTTTTGGCGCTACTAACGAGCACATAACAATTTCCCGTCGAAAATGTCCCGGGCCGTGCTACACAGGATTCTTTTAAAAATTTAGGTCAGACTGTGCTCTTAAAAAAATTGAGGTCAGGCTCACTAATGAACGTTCTATAATTGACTAGGCTATGACTGGGTCATTAGTTCATTTTGTTTCGAGTCAGGTGGCCCAAGCCGATTTAATTTCCTAATCCGGAGATACGTCACCCCATTTTACATGCAGAAAACATACTTCTAATTGGCTCAAACAGATTCAATTCTAACTGCTAACTAATTAAACTATATCTTTGATCAGAAAACAACTATTTGTTTTATTAGTAATTTGTCCTTCTTCATTTGGCTATCCTGTTTGTTTTGCACTAGAATTTGAAAATTTTCAGGTATGGACAAATTCTTGATCAAGTTTAGACAACGGCTTCTGCCAATTAACGCATACAAAGTTTTTAGAAAAAAAATCACGGATGTTTTGTTTAACTCGGATTTTTTTTCTACAAAAATTTTAGCCAAAAACAGAACCTGACTCACTAAATTGTATATTTTTTTTCGAGTTGCTGCGTAATTAAGAAATTTGATAATTTCCATTTATTTTTTGTAATTTTTCCTACTTTCCAGGTAGCTTATGTTGTCATGTCACTACAACAAAATACAGCATTTTCGACGAAACAAAAACGTCGGCAAAAGTTTAAAAAACGTCGGCAAAAATCTTTCCCGACGCAAAATGCAGCGTCGCTAACGCGTCGCTAAAAGTGCGTCAAGGAAAGTATTTGGCGACGCAAAACAACATGCGTCGGTAAAAATCAACACTTTTGGCGACGCGTCATGCGTCGGGAAAAGTACATCTTTAGCGACGCATAATATTTTGCGTCTCAACACTTTTGGCGACGCGTCATGCGTCGGGAAAAGTACATCTTTAGCGACGCATAATATTTTGCGTCGGCAAAAGGTATGCAGAATTTTCTCAAATGCAAGGGTGCGTCGGCAAAAGTAGTACTTTTGGCGACGCATGCTGCGTTGGCGCAGAATTTTCTCAAATGCAAGGGTGCGTCGGCAAAAGTAGTACTTTTGGCGACGCATGCTGCGTTGGCAAAAACCAAAACGTCGGCAAAAGCATAGGTTTTAGCGACGCAAAACTGTTCGTCGCTAAAAATTATACTTTTGGCGACGCAATTTTGCGTCGGCAAAAGTATAGCTTTTAGCGACGCTTCATTCTGCGTCGCTAAAAGCTATATCTTTGGCGACGCAAGATAGCGTCGCTAAAATATATTACTTTTAGCGACGCAATATAGCGTCGGCAAAAGTGTTACTTTTAGTGACGCAATTTAGTGCGTCGTTAAAAGTTAAAAAATTTAATGATGCAATTTAACATCAGCAAAGGTATAATTTTTGGCAACGCATAATTATCTTTTCTGTCAACTACAAGCCTACACTGAACCTGAACATCCACAAAAAATTGCACTCATTCACATCAACAAAGAAACCAAACATCAAATTATACTCCAAACACGTTGCATATTATGATAAACAAAGAATTTACTCCATTACAAATTAGTTACATTCATTTCCATTTCCAAGTCAATACTCAAAGGCCTATTTAAATATTCCAATTTGCTTGTAATCCACAAAGGAAAAAAAAGAAACACAATTTGCTTGATCAAATTCATTGCTTGATCCCGTCTGTTATGTTTCTCTGCCTCATCTGGTGCATAATTCTTCCTTTTGCTTCATATTCCTATTCCTCCGCTTGCACAAAGTGCCCAAGCTGGCAAGCCTAAGCTAAAACTATCAAGCTTGTCCACATTGACTCGTGCTGCATGAAAGTGATTTACTAAAAATATTTAGCCCGCATTTCAAGAAAAAAAGATTTTTAATTATTATTTAGCCCAAGACCTTATTAACCATTCTGTTCTTTATTTTTTTCGTATGTATTCTTCCATTTTAGCTTATGTTTTCTAAACCTAAAAATATATATAAAACCTTCCAGCTTTATTATTACCATGTATTCGGAAGTACATGTATTCAGAAGTTTGCAAGAAACAATAGAAAACAAGGAAAAGCAAAAAAAGTCTCGACTAAATTCATGTTAAAAAGAAATGTAGTAAATGTTCTGTTGAGTCAATTTAAGAATTCATAACTAGAAGAAAATGTAAATTTTACAAGCTGCAAAACACAACTCTATTTTTACCTCATCAGACATTCCTTCCAAAAGATTTTTCTGTTGTGTCTTACCAAACCAGCTGAAGAACCTGTATCACCCAAAAAAGATGTGTAAAATGAAAACTAGGATGTATATAATATAGCTAAGCATTATGAAATTAATGATCCATATTAAACAAATGATTTAGCGTATCCCTAATATAAATTGTGCAAGCCCCACTGGCAGTGTATTTGTATCCATAATAGTATAGCCTGACTTGAGCAAGTTGTGGTTGAAAGTCAATATAAATAGTAGATAATAAATGGATAATACAATCATGAACAGAAGACAATAAACTAAAATTTCAGAAGAACTCACAAATGTAATAGTATAGCCTGACTTCACATCTTTTGAATCCTCCAAGTCCAAAGAAACCAAATGCTTGAAAATCTACAGAAGGGGACAATTTACGAGGTATGAGAATAGCAGTTATATGTCAAAGAAAAGTGATCTGGCTATATCAACGAATAGCTGTCAATTCAGCTCAAGCACAGGGCATCAAAATAGTAAGTTATTATAAAGATGAAAAGGAACAAAAATGTATTTAGGTTAACAAGTCAAATAAGTGAAATAACTTTATTATGTGGGCATCCAAATGCATTATGTATGAAGTTTGACATACCTTTTGATCTTCCTCAGTTAAGAGATCTCCAACCGCAGGATGACTAAGAAACTGCATGCCGAGCAATGATTCTTTTAGCTGGTTCATACTGAAGCATTTTCTGGCAACATAAAGATCATTAATAAGCCTTACTAAGTATTACAAAAGTGGAATTGTAACATGAGATATAGCCTACATTGCAGATATGAAATAGTTGTGTCCAATTAATTACACATTTGAAGCAGTGAGTGTCAAAGATAATTTAGTGTCAGCATTTGTGGTTGAACTGTTCACATTCTTAAGAGGACAACCGTTGCTAGATCCTGCACATCAGACAGAAGATCAAGTCCATTTGATTCAAGATTTGGGACAACTGTTGCTAGATCCTGCACATCAGACAGTAAATAGTGTCCTTCAAGGTTCACTTAAACCTGATTAACAGAAGAAATTTCAGCATGAAAGCAATAATTGGCTCACCCTAGGAGGCTTGGGTTGGCTTGGGTTTAGGCCACTGTGGAAAGAATGCAAATTTAGACACCTTGATCACTGTACAAAAGAAAACATCAGTTTGGAGAACAGTAATTATAAGCTTAATGCCTGGATGAAACATAAAAGATCAGACTGGATTAAACATATAGTAAGATATCCTATGACATGCTTTAATCATATTGATTAATCCATTAGAATGTAGGTACTCACCAAGAAAATTGGCCTTGACATCAACAACAGAAAGCAAAAGGTAGTAATACCAACGCATCTGCACATAAATCAGACTAGTTAAAATGTTAGGTACAAGAACCGAATAACTACATATGATTGAAGGTCGAGGAGGTAATTCTGAATGACAATGAAAATATCCTGATTTTAATGTGTTTAAGCCTACTTGTTCAGTGTCCGTGTCATCTTCATCAAGCATATTTCCATTAAGATTAGGTCAGATGTGCAGTAGATTCTATGGCGATAAAAATGGCTCAACAGCAACATCAAGTATCAATCATAAAGCATCACCAATTTGTTAATTGCGTAATAAATAATGGAACAATTGAACTTGTATATGCCCATTTTTCATGAGATTGATGGTGGCAGGAACATTAATTTACAAAAATTTAAATTTGAAAGACATTAAGAACAGAAGCATATGCAAGGAATAACTATCTTCTTGAAGAATCAATTCTGAGGGGGGAAGAAAGTCTTTTGTACGAGGATAAAGTCTTCATTATTCTGTTTGGTTGTTTGGTAGGACACAGTAAACAAAAGGATAGATTCAAGAAGATGTAAATTATTCCTCATTTGTTAGTAAATAAACTGCCTCCAATTCTACCAGAACTACAAATAAATGCCTAGTGCTGTATATAAAATTTCATCAAGGTACCACCTCCAACTGCACGTAAAAACTAGTACTCATTTATCTTTCATCAACATAATCTCCAGAAAAGTATCTATGCCTCTCAAATAATGCTTTGTCTAATGCTAAACAATGTTAGATTATTTCTTTCGATTCATACACGGATGTTGGAACTCAATATTTATCTAAAGGGAAACAATGTTAGGTTATTTCTTTCATACACAGACGTCGAAAGTCTGAGTGTTTATCTAAGAAAAAAGGTCAGTTTCTACAGTTTAGCCCTGATTCTAAAATAATCAATAGCAACTGCACTTTTTAAGGCCTCCCTTGAGATGACCAAATTTCTCTATTCTACTGAAACACCTACTTTCAGGAATTGAACTGTCCTAGAATAGAAGAATAATCTCATTCATTATTGTAGGACATAATACATAGAAATTAAAAAATAAATACCTGCAGAGGTTTCCTCCTGTAGATCAAAAAACCGCCATAAAATAGCGCCAGCAGCAAATAATTCAAGAAGGACTGAGACGTAGGAGCATTGATACCTGAAACCAAGCAATACCCATTTCAACAAAATCAAAAAATTTCAACATGGGTATTGAAAAAAATCTCACTTAAAAGATAAATGTACAGAATTCACCTCGCCTTGAGAGCTCAGAAGATGAGAAGCCAGTAGAAGTTATCAGAAGGGAAAAAAACTGGCCTAAACCCAAGCCAGCCCAAGTTATCAGAAGAGAATTTCAGGTGCCCTATACCACAGAGTGACTACCTGAGAGGAACGACGCTTTGGATTGAATGGAGCTACGAACTCCGCTCGAGGCTCCTCATCTTCTCCATCGACTTCTTCAAACCCTAGGTACAGATCTGAACACCAAAAGCCCATCAAACAACCACTCAAAGCAGGGACGACGGTGGCATGGGGAGAGAGGAGGTCGGGTAGGGGGGAAGCAACGGCGGCGTAGGGAAGCAGCAGCGGTGGCATGGGGAGAAAGAGGTCGGGTAGGGGGCAACGAGGGGAGAGAGGAGGTTGAGGGGTTGGGAAAACGGGGGCGGCGGGATGGGGCGGCGAGGGACGGCGAGATGGGGCGGTGGAACGAGGGGAGAGAGGAGGTCGAGGGGGTGGGGGAACGGGGTCGGCGGGATGGTGCGGCTGTGAAATTTGGGGGAACGAATGAAATTTAGGGGGGAGGGGAACGAATGAATTTTGGGGAAAACAAATGAAATTTTGGGGGAGGGGAACAAATGAATTTTGGGGGGAACGATTTTTGGCGACGCAGATCAATAAAAAAGCGTCGTTAAACAGGGACGTCGGGAAAAATAAGTTTTTAGCGACGCTTATCTACACGTCGCCATATATGCACATTATTAGCGATGTCAGCCTTAAAACGTCGCTAAAAATATATATTTTTGCCGACGAAAATAAAAAAACGTCGGGAAATCTATACACTTTTACCGACGCTAAGTTAAAACGTCGTTAATAATATACACTTTTAGCGACGCTAATTATAAACGTGGGGAAAGATATATGTTTTGCCGACGCTAACTAAAATCGTCGGGAAAAACATATTTTTTGGCGACGTATTTAACCTTGCGTCGGGAATAAGCGTTGGGAAAAGTGCAATTTGTTGTAGTGTGTATTATTTGTTTTTTAAAAGTGGTTATTGTCATGTTATTTGTTTTTTAAAAGTGGTTATCTTACGTAGTTGCAGCTAGTTTTACTTGCTCATATACTTTTGGCTTGTCTACTTTTGCTAAAGCTCCTATTAATGAAATGCGGTTGGGTGAAATTGACACCCATTGCTTGAGTAAAAAAATGGTAGAAGAAAAACAGTGAGAAGTGATGATGTAAGGGGCATTACTAATAAAACAAACTTACATTAACAAATTAAGAAAGCATTAAGTGAACTATTTTATGAGTTTATAGATTTAACCAATGAAATGCTAAATAAGCGTTTCCTTCACATGCAAGAAATTAAATAATATACCAATTCAACTTTTTGTGCATTACATTTAAAAATATCCGCTTCATTAAACTTTCTGTCAGAATCTCATGATCCAATATGTCCACCTTGAAAGTTTAATTCTTCCCCCAAAAAATAAAAAATAAAAACGAAAAGAAAAATTAAGAAATGTATTGAGTCAGAACATCATCCTCAAAAATACAAACCAGATGGTCGGCACTTTTAGCGTAGCATAGAAACGAGGTAGAGTGGAAGATTGTTCTTTTTTTTTTGGGCGTGACTATTTTTTTTTTTTTTTTGCATTTCCACTTGTAATTATACTGTTTAGCTTGAATGTCATAATTCTGATCACCATCATTTTCGTTTTATTTTTTTTTTTTTTTTTTTTTGGGCGTGACTATTTTTTTTTTTTTTTTGCATTTCCACTTGTAATTATACTGTTTAGCTTGAATGTCATAATTCTGATCACCATCATTTTCGTTTTATTTTTTTTAATAGTCAACTTGGGTTTTCCATAATAAACCTTGGGTCATGTCGGGATAGATGTTTCATTAGTGAGTCAAATAATAATGTTGTACATGTCGACAATGTGTAATTTACGCCTAATTCTAATATGTTGAATTTTAAAGCAAAAGGGTTGAATTTTTCCTTGGGATTTACAATTTTCTAAAGTAATGGCAAGTATTACTGTCTAAAAAAATTGTCCAGATTTTTTATAATAATATAGACAATTATTCTCTTATAATCATATACATGATAGAGATATATAATTAATAGACTGGGATTCTTATCATTAATGGATTACCCGTCTTGGGGTGCATAAATAATATATTACGTCCTTAAGATTGTTTCTTGACTTCGATTCCAATTTTTTTAACTAGTTATTTGCTAAATTTATGCATAAGGATAGCACAATCTTCATGGAAAGCAACAAAATGGTTGATTGGGAAAATCCCTATATAATATGTAAGGGGTCCATTGTCTACTAACAATTGAAGGTTACACCTTGTGTGACAGTCGGATGAAATCATTTGATTTGATTTTTTTTTGATGTAATATTGATGAAATCATTTGATTGAAACAATATTTTGTTTATCATTGAGTATAATATAGTACTTCCATGCGGAAGATAAAAGCACTAGATTGAAACAATATTGAGTTACCTTAAAAAAAAATCGGTTACCAGTGTAGTGTATGGATCACATAGATTGTCATTATCTTCTTTACATGCATTTTAATTTCTTTTTCTATATTTTAAGGGCCCAACATAGAGTTGAGATTTAGGCACTGTTTGGCAAAAAAAAAAGGTGTCTTATCTAAGAGCTTGTGTCTTATTGACTTGGTCAATAAGCTAGTAGAGCTGTTTGGTGACCAAATATAGGAGGAGATTATTTTGGAGATTGTGTCTTTTGCAAGTAGCTTTTGAAAAGCTATCTCAAGTAGCGTTTGTCTTTGGGAAGGAGCTGCCAATTTTTTTCTTCCGTTTTTGCCCCTAATAATTCTAATTTTATATCAATAATATTGCATGTCTTTTTTAGTCATTTAACAAATTTAAGCTAGTTGTACAGCTACTTTTGCCAAACAGCTCTAGTCAATCAGCTAGCTACATAGCTAACAGCTTTCAGCTACAATTTCACAGCTTTCAGCTAGCTTAACAGCTTTCAGCTATAATCTCGTAGCTTTCAGCTATAATCTCGTAGCTTTCAGCTAGTTTTGCCAAACAGAGCCTTAGACTTTCCATACATTAGCTTTGGACAATTACCGTCTGATCAAGACTTCAAATATGATTATTAGTTGCCTTGACAATTATTTTGTTTGTTAATCTCCTCACCTTCGACATGATTAGTATAATACGAGAATACATTTTTTATTACGATTTTATGAAGCTAAGTCATTGACAACTAAAAGTCAACGAAAAACGAGCAAATAGGTATAAATCTAAGAGGTAAATGGGGGAAAAAAATTGAATGACGATTAAACTTTCAATAAATAGTAGTAATAACTGCTCTGCTATTCCATTCTTTTTATATTTTTAGGAAAGAAAATTATAGTTATCATCATTTGAAAGAAAATTATAGTTATCATCATTCTTCAACAACTTAACCTAATAGATAATCCAGAATTATTGTGAGTTGCCATGTTAAAACATTTCTTTCCAAAGTACCCTAAAAAACACATGCATACATAAATAAAACACATACATACATCCTCAAAAATACATGCATACATACATAAAACACATATATACATGAACATACATGCATACTTAAATATAAACAGTTATTATTTTTTATAATTATCTTATTAATAATTTTCTTAATTAAATCTCTTTATGGTCTACATTTAATATCTTAAATGACCTCCTCTATCTACTCTCTCCACTATTTCACAAGTCCTTTCAATTCATACTATTACTGTTACTTTAATACATGAAAGTCATTAATAAAACATTTTCCACAACTCTCCTCTGTCTAAGAAACGTTCTCATGCATCAAGGAATTAAAAACGCCTCATCTCTTGTATAATTATTACCAGAGTGAATTAGTATAAAATATGCAATTCACCTTTCTCCTTTCTTTCCCCATAGAGCTGGTAAAGCTGACCATTTGAGCTCTTGCTTATTTCTCCCCTCACCGCCAAACTGGTAGTTTTCTATTTCTCTTAAATCAATTTATGAAAAAGTATAATTTTGTTATATAAATTAATTATTGATATTTTCAATATTCCGATTGAATTTCATTTTTGGCCAAAAAGCATGGACAACATGTGGTTGTGCTAGTTGAGGATGCTCCAAAACATAAATACAAAGATGAAAGAAAAGTTGAGGTAGTGTTGTTTCTTCCGCTGCAACATCATCACCTATGATAATAGACACTCTTATGTGCTCGTCGCTACACTTAGTTTTACAAATAGTAATCTTTCTTTGTCTTATTCATCTTTTACATATCTATTTTCTGTTGTGTTTCTTATTTCTTTGATCATGATAAGTGTTATAACGATCTCCAAAAAAAATGTATAGATAGAATTTTAGCACCTTAAATTTGTCCATACTTGTCTTCATATTCACCAAGTATTGACCATTATGCCTCAGGAAGAAAGTACTTGGACAATTATTATACCAACTGCCAGGAAGACATGATTATTCTTAGTATATGTTCATTAGAGATCTTTTTAAACATTAATGAAACATATTAAAATCATCATATAACTTAATATGAAAGGACTTGACAATTTTGTATATACTTAAAATTTTGCAGACTTTATCCGTATCCATTTTAGTATCCTAACTTAAACATTAAAGGCTATTATTTATGTCTTTGTATTGAGTTCTAGATACCTTATTAATGTCTTTGTTACTATTTTCTTAATTTTTTGGTATCATTAATGTCTTTTATCATGAGAGAGGACAACGAGCCTATATGATAGGAGCCATGATATAGAATGAAGTTGGACATATAGTAATGGAAGGTTATAATATCAATGACAAATTTTGAAAAAACAAATAGAATTTTTGATTCTATGTGAATATATATGGAAAAATTAAAAGATAAACCATTAACTAAAATAAGAAACTCTCATCAATTTTATGAAACGTTGTAACATAACATATATATTCTCCATAATTCTTCTTATTCCTCCTTTACTTTTTTTAGTTATTTATGTTGTGTAGTAGAATTCACCAAGTATAAATCTCATTCTAAAAAGTTCTCCATTACATTAAATGCACAGTCGGAGTCATCATTGCGCCACCACCAAAGTCTTAATGAATTATCGGACCACGTCAGCACCTTAATTCCCCTGTCACTATTGCATTAATCACAAGGGTGATTCGGATCCCCTAATGCCAACATCTGTAAATGTATTAGAACTTGGCCAAGATTACATAAATCCCTCATCAGCTTGGTATAAATAGCACATCATTTATTGTCCAAAGGTAAGCAATTTCTGCGCACTTAAAGAACTATATCGATTCTTTTCTCTCCTTCAGATCATAATTAACTTGATTGTCGGAGGAACCACCGGAGAACCAACTCTGGTCCTCTAACGCGTTGCATATGTATGAGACTCTCTTTCAATTAGGGCCTGTTTGTTTGCACGGAAGTAATTGTGAAGTAGCTGAAGTAAAAGAAGTAGATGCTACTTCTGCTACTTCCAAGCAAAAAAGTGTGTTTGGTTCTCTGAAAAACTTACTTCCAATACTTCCCTAAATGCTTATGTGGCGTCTACGTGTCATCCTTACTTCCAAAATATTTTTCCAATCCTCAATACTCAGAAGTAGCTCGGAAGTAGTTGAAATGCATATTAATTATGACATAAATAATTTTTTTATTAATATTTCCTTTATTAGTTACTTCTAACAACTTTTCATTGATAAAATTACTTCCTAATAATATTTTCAAATGTTATCCAAACAAAAAAAAGTAAATAAAGAGGAAGAAGTTCTAATTCCATTACTTCTAAAAATATATGAAACAAACAAAAAAAATACTATTTCTACTACTTCCTACTTCATAGCTTTGAAAGTTACTTCTATAACCTACTTCTTACTTTTAATACTTCCATTATCCAAACGGGCCCTTAGGGAATCAGCCATCAAAGGAGACTAAGGGACCCTAAGCTCTTCAAAATCAACCCTAAATCCTACAACCAAACTTCTAACACCAACAAGTTAATTCTATAATGTCTATATATTGAATGTAATTGTGAAGAAATTAGCAACTAATGTATTTATGTCAAATTTTTTAGTTCGAGAATAGAATATTTCATCCCGTTGATTTAGAACTTGCGCTGGTAGATGTCTTGCTAATTATTTAGAAGATGGTTCCTTTGAACAGTTGTAATGAATCAACGTCTAAAAGAGAGTTTTATTTTCATTCTTGATCTTCTATACGTGTTTAAATATTTAGGGTAATTTTTTAAAAGAATATAAAAATCTTTTACTTTTACCATTTATATTCACAAAAATTCTATCATTTTGTTATGAACAAATTTGTATTATCGAATTGATATACTTGAACAGTTGTAATGAATCAATGTATAAAAGAGAGTTTGTTTAAATAAAATTTTATTATGACAATTCAAAAAAAAAATGTAATATCTTTGAACAGTTGTAATGAATCAATGTCTAAAAGAGAGTTTATTTTCATTCTTGATCTTCTATATGTGTTTAAATATTGAGGGTAATTTTTTTTAAAAGAATATAAATTATATTTTATTTTTACCATTTATATTCACAAAAATTCCATCATTTTGGTTTTGAACAAATTTGTATTATTGATATGATTTTTTTTGCTATATAAAGTTAAAATAAAATTTTATTATGACAATTCAAAAGAAAATAAATAAATATGTAATATCTTTGAACAGTTGTAATGAATCAATGTCTAAAAGAGAGTTTATTTTCATTCTTGATCTTCTATATGTGTTTAAATATTGAGGGTAATTTTTTTAAAAGAATACAAATTATCTTTTATTTTTACCATTTATATTCACAAAAATTCCATCATTTTGGTTTTGAACAAATTTGTATTATTGGTATGATTTTTTTTTGCTATATAAAATTAAAATGAAATTTTATTATGACAATTCAAAAAGAAAAAAAATGTAATATTGGCAAAAAAATGGAGATGCAGGGGATCGAACCCTGTACCTCCTCTTGCATGCAAAGCGAGCGCTCTACCATTTGAGCTACATCCTCATTAATGTATTGGTCGATAACACCTTTACCTGAGAAGCTTTCCTTCTTTTGTTTCGGTTCTCTCTCTTTAAATTAGGTCGACGAAATAGACAGCTAACTAAGAGGCAAATACGGAAGCATTGATGCCTCATTAATTTGATATCACATTGTTTGGCCTAATAAATAACTTAACTATGACAGTGCATGTTATGTTATACAGAGATACACTACATCTCTTTTAAATTTTTGTGCACATGCGCGCATTACCGACAACTACTCTTTATTTAGTTAAACATCAATAACATGCGCCAATACTTTTACCCGAATCTATTAAATGCATGTATTTTTAAGTACGGTTTTTCTATAGAGTGCCCATGGGCACTCTATAAGAGAGGAGAGAGATAGAGAGAAATAAATGAGAAGATGATCCCAATGCAAATCAGGGGACCCCCCTTCTTATTCATTTCTCTCTATCTCTCTCCTCTCTTATAGAGTGCCCTTGGGCACTCTATAGAAAAACCGTTTTAAGTATACTAGTTAGATTGCAATTGCACGTGGTTAAGTATTATGATTATTTAAATTGATAAAAATAGAATAAAAATAAAAGAAAAAAATAAATTTTTTTTACGGGATTAATTATCAACACAATAATTTCTCTTTCAAATGAAATATTGTCATTGTTTCCTTCAATCGAGACTGTCCATTAAATACATTGATCTAGTACAATATCTTTGTTTATTAGTATCATGAAGTCTTTAAAAGATGGGTGATCATTCAATTCACAAAGGAATTTTATATATGAATTTACTTGCAATATGTCCATTAAATTTTTAGTTGTGGTTTGACTCATATTTACATTAACTTTTAGTTGTGATTTCACTCATATTTACATTATCTAAAATTCTCATTCAATTTTATAGCCCATCTCCATACCATAGAAGTAAAAGTAAAAGTATGAAGAATTATTTTCTTACGAAATTAGAGCAGGGAGATTATGATATATTTCGCCATGTACTTTAAATATAAAAAAATCTCTTTGATGCAAGGTCTCTATCAAATCTTACCCCAAACAATATGAATGGAAAATGCTATTATAACTCACTTGCTTGGAGCAATTATATTGTATATAGGACATAACAGTAATCTCATGTATTTTCTAGTTCTGATTGCAAAATACGTAAGAGTGGTAATCCTGTGTATTTTCTGACTTTAATTACTTTTATAATTAATGTTCTCTAATTATACGGGACAATTAGTATCGTGTATTTTAAAGATGATTTTTATACAAACCCGAACTCTTTGTTACCAGTCTTGATGGTGTGGCAAAAAATAGGTCAATTTTGTTAATTATTATGTAAAACAATCAATTTTGCTAATATTTTTAAAAAGTGATCTTTTAAAAATTCTCCTAAAATAAACTATTAATTCAAAATATGAAATTGGCAAAAAGACCTAAACATTCTAGTGATTAATTGATCCATAAATAGAAAAAATAATAATTAAAATAAAAGTATATTTAAATTGAATCTAACAAGGCACTTCACAGAATGAAGCATGAAATGGATCCAAGAAATTATTAAAAAAGAATTAAAGAAACTAATTTAAAAAAATATGAGATCGAGGGATAGAGGGAGAGAAGACCTCACCGACATAAATTTTATTTCTCTTCGAGCGTGACAACAAAATTGGTGAAGAATGAGCAAGGAGAAAAGTGAACATAATATGTGACAAAGTGGGCGTGCTTATATAAATAGGTTATTAAGATGTTCGTCCTAAAATCTTAAATACATACATGTTAGTCCCTAATATTTTTGTAATTGCTCATTTACAATGATATTACTATTCAATATTAAATCAATTTTATTATATAAAATTATATACCATTATTAGTAAATTATAAAGTATATATATGGAAACCTCGATGCTTATAGCCAATAGTTGGACTCCACAAAATATGTTAACTTTACATTATAGTTTACTATTGGTAATACTGTTGGCAATATCATTATCTTTCCTCTTTATCTTATTATATATTCATAATTTTCTTATGTAAGTCCTCTTTTGCTAGTCACTCAATTGACTATATTTTGTTTTTATAATATCAAAAATTAGAATATTCTTTTCTGTTTAAAAAGTGTTGATATAATTTTTTTTAAAATATATACATATAGTAGCAATAGTATATACTTCACTTCAACTCAAACATTGGCTTGAAGCCATTTAGAATGAGGTCCTTTCTACGCTAGAATGGTGACGTAGTGATTACATAATCCAAAAGTCAAAGAAAAATTTCTACAAAAAGGGAAAATAATTTAATATGTCAAATTAACAACTAATTTATAAAATATACATGGATAATGCAGAGAGCTATAGAAAGTAAGGTATATATCTTCATAAAAATTTCATAGTGAGTGCCTAACTATAGTCATCCTAATTTAAGTATAAATAATTATTATTTTAGTTACTAATTTGATGCGCGTAACTATAAAATAAATCTCAAGCAAAAAATAAGAATTGAAATTGTATTATCCTGTAGGTAAATAAATAAATATAATTTAAAAGTAATAATTTAAATTATTAAGTACTAAATATTAGTTCATGCGAGAAAGTAAAGTAATCTATGGTTTATATACCTATATAGTCAATCGATTAAACATATTAAAATTATAATCACCACAGTTAAAATTATATGGTGGGTTCACATTAAATATAATTTTATAAAAAATAGTACATTAAAGTCAAAAACCTTTTAACCACTATATAGATTATTTAAAATTTTTGCATGTATAAACTATACTGCCTAGGAATAGTGATGTGCACACTTAACTATAGCCTAATACATCTTAAGAACGACTTACTCTTCAATATCATTATTAATTAATGTATCTATGCATTACACTAAAAACACAAAGAAATTTTAGAAAACTATAAAAGAAATACCCTCAAAAGTTTTTAAAATTGTAAAAACAAACACCCTAAACTTTTATAATTTACAAATACACAAAACTATTAAAAATTAAATTAAAATCAAGGAACTACAAATTTTTTTTGAAAAAATTTAAACTTTGGAGGGGTAATTTGCAATGCACTAAACTTTAAGTTTGTTTTTAGTAAATTTCAAATCTAATAGATTTTTAATTAGTTATGTTCTTTTAAAAAAAGTTATGGGTAATATTGATCATGAAAAGTTTTTCCTATACCTATACTTTAAAGCGAGTATGATATTTTTTGTAAATTTTTTATTTTCTAAGGGTTACTAGTAATTTTATATATTCATTTTAGTGTCTATAGGTTAGAAATTTCCATGGTGTTTTTTTTATAAATTATGAATATTAGGGGTTATTTATAATTTTTAAACTTATATGCATTTTCTATAGATTATAAATTATTTATAGACTACTTATAATTCATATATTTTTAATGAGAAATGTTTTCCTAAGGTGACATCTTAGATTCCCACCTAAGGACGCGGTCTAAAATCACATCATTCTCTTTTTTTTTGCGATCCGTTCCGTTGAACTTGATCTACACGTTCTTAAATCCAAGCATACTAATTTTGGGGTGAACCCGTCGTGTTTTGACCCTTCATCCACTCACCGTAATTTTAACGGTTTCGAATGAATAAAACTTTTTTGCACGGCTCAACGAAGAGTCAAAACACGACTGGTTCACCCCAAAATTGACATATTTGGGTTTAAGAACGTGTAGATCAAGTTCAATGGAGCGGATCGCAAAAAAAAAAGGGAATGATGTGATTTTAGGTCGCGTCCTTAGGTGGGAATCTAAGGTGTCACCTTAGGAAAACATTACCCATTTTTAATTTACTAATGAGTTTGAAATTCTCAGGGTGTTTTTTTATAAAATTTGAATTTTGAGTGTTTGTTTATAATTTTTAAAACTTTAACGGTGTTTTTATAAATTATATATTATGCAAGGGATATTTGTAACTCCTATATTTCCAATGCACTGTTAGGTTAAAAATTATCAGGATTTTTATAAATTTTACAATCTTGAGGGTTTTATTTTGTAATTTACGAAAAGTTTAGAGTGTTTATTGCAAATTTTATAAGTTTTTGGGGTTGTTTGTGTTATTTGTAGGTTTGTAGTGTGTTTATAGGTTTAAAATTTTAAGGTGTTTTTTACAAATTTTGAATTTTAGGAGTGTTTTGTATTTTTCAAAACTTACAAGATACTTTCTCCAATAGCAAAAACTTTTATTTTTTAGTTAGCATATATTTTTTAGATTTCTCATTGAATTGAAATAAGTAAAATTTATAATTTTAAGATATTTTAATAAAATTTTGAATTTGTAGGGGATGTTTTTGTAATTTAAAAACTTAGATGGTATTTTTATAAGGTCCAAATTTTTTAGGTGCTGGTTAGCGTATATTTTTTAGATTTCTCTACAAACTAAAATAAATAAAAGATTTAAATATCAAATATATCACCTTTATCCAATAAAATATTAAGTCTCATTATGGATAGGATAAATCATTTAATTATAAATTTAAAGAATATAGGAAAATTAAAATAGATTAGGATAACAATATGATATTTAAAAAAAGTTAAGGATAAAATTGACCATAGAAAAATTTTCCGGTACTTTTAAAAGAAGTATATGATCACTTTATGTATATATAACTGTTGAGCAAGTCGGAGCGGCCCCTCGGCCAAGCGGTGAGCAGAGCTATTGAAGACGGTTTGATCGGAGGTCGGAAGGAGCTCTTCATCACTTCAAAGCTATTTCCCACCGATGCATATCCTGATGGCGTTCTGCCTGCAATCCGTGAGACTCTAGGGTGAGCGTTTTATTTTCAATTTGTTTGCTGTTTTTGTTAGCAATTTATAATTTTCCAATCTACAAAATAACTGATTCATCTTTAAAGTATATAGATAGATAAACTTTGAACTTTATCTCTAACGTATTAATTTACCTTTTTTTTTTTTTTACTTAAACTACGTTTTGTAGTTTCAGTGTGATCATTTTGTAACAGATTAATGAAATGGGGTGTCTCTTTACATTTCTTCATGAAGTTTTACCAACTTGTTACCTTTTTTCCCGACTAAAAGAAGCTTCTTATAGGTACCCTGAGATATGAAACAATTACATGAGGGCATTATCTTAGGGGCCGTGAATCTATACAAGTAGTCCTAAGATTACGAATTGTATCTACACGAGTAACTAAGTAGGAAACAAAATAAATAGGCTCCACGTCAACCATGTATAACTACAATCAGTAATCTCAACGTCACCTAATGCAGACAGGATCGAAGATTCTAGGATCACTGTTGCAATTACGCCACACCTCAGAGTACATAGATAAAATATTTAATCCTTATTTTAACCTAATTCCAAATATACTTTAACATAAATTACTAATATAGACCTATTTGATGGGACTTAAATGGTTCGAGGGTCTTTTTTTTGCTCTTAGCGGCCTATTTAAAAAACCCTGGTCTTTTTTTTGCAGAGCGCTTGAGATGGAGTATGTTGATCTCTATTTAATACACTTTCCAGCGAGGTTGAAGGGCGAGAAGAGGTTCGTCTTCAATGGCGACGACGTAATCCCTTTGGACATGAAGGGGACATGGGAGGCAATGGAGGAATGCAATCGCCTTGGCTTGGCCAAGGCTATCGGTGTAAGCAACTTCTCCTGCAAAAAGCTCGAGCAGCTTCTCGTCCATGCCAAGATCTTACCAGCCGTGAACCAGGTACTTCAGTTTACTTAATTACTAGCTGGAAAATTAATTAGAAAGTTAAATAAAAAAATCCAATCTGATTTAACTATGGACAGTTCGCTCTTAAACTTTTGGAGACGTGTACTATTTGAGTTAATTTGCTTTACTCTGGAAAATAACCAAGTACTAGATCTTGACTTGCTTCTTTGAAGTCAAAAGAAGTGAACTATACATTATTTTAAGAAGTTAACTATAAAAGCGAATAGTCTCTCTTTGTGACATCGGCAGTTCACTAACTATCATATAGATTTAAAAGGGAAATACTAAGCGTAACTCACTACTCATCTGAGAAGGATGGATACAAATTAACTCAATTTGTGTCACATTGCATCATCACCGGCCTTTAGTTTCTAAATGGGAAGAGATCAGAATGGACTATAACTTACTAGAAATTAATTTCCATGCATTTCATTGTAAGTGGGGCTCCATGAGATTGTTAAGGTGATGTATATATAGTCTATTTCCTAGTCAGTTTGGATGGCATGTATATATATATATATTACAGGTGGAAATGCATCCTCTATGGAAACAAACACAACTAAGAGAATTTTGTAGCGAGAAAGGTATCCACATAAGTGCCTACTCTCCTCTCGGTGGAGTAGGTGTCATTTGGGGCACTCCTGCTGTTCTTGCAAACCAAGAGATCAAAAGCATTGCAGAATCTAAAGGAAAAAGCGCCGCGCAGGTAATTTGTACACTTTCAACTTGAATTTCAAATGCATATTAGAAAATTCACAAACAAGGGTTTCGAAGTGAAGAAATGGTAACTTCTAATTACAACGGACAGGTTTGTTTAAGGTGGGCTTTTCAGAATGGGGTAAGCTTCTTGCCAAAGAGTTTCAACAAAGAGAGGTTAAAAGAGAACAGTGAGATATTTGATTGGGAATTAAGCGGTGAAGACATGAAGAGGCTTAATCTTCTTCCACAGAAACGAGTGGCCCTTGCAGAGGCGTATGTATCACCTAATGGTGTCTTCAAGTCATGCGATGAACTTTGGGATGGGGAGTTGTGATGCAGTTATGTTTCCTTCAAAGATGATTAATTTCATAGTGAGATTCACGTAATTTGAAGGGAATTTGGATATGCTTGTGCAATTAAAAATAATGGAAGTAATTGAGTAACATTCTTAAATTTGTGGAGATTTTTCCAGCTACAAAAACAGTCTGGTTTATGAAGATTTTTGCTGTTGAGGATGATGTTTTCATCAAGTCATGCAGAACTTTATCCTCATATACAAAAGAGTCATCTCTGACATAATAGTATCAACAAGAGAATAGTATGTGTTATGCACAAAGTCCCCCTTTTTCTATTTGCATAAAAAAGTAACACAAAAAAGTCACTCTTTTTCATTTGCATAAAAAGTAACACAAAAAGGATGGAGATGCAGGGGATCGAACCCTGTACCTCTCGCATGCAAAGCGAGCGCTCTACCATTTGAGCTACATCCCCTTCGTTAGATTTAACAAAACTAAAGTTTTAAATCTACTTTACGATTAGCCTGCTCTGGATATGATGAACTCTTCTTTTATTTGGGTTCTTTCTTTCGATTATTCAACAAGGGGTTGATACCACAATAAAATTTCACTAATACTTCACTTGAAATCAATGAACACGTATTTTTTGGCTATACCATTTTAAAAAAATAAAATTAAGCATTGTTAATTTTTGTACCAAGCAATATTGATCGTGCACATGAGTTCGCATATATGGTCCTCGCTCTATATAGCGCATCCATGAGAAGGAGTTGTATTCTCACTAAAACAACACAGTACATTTCCATATGTTTTTTACATGGCACTGGCGCTCTCGCCTTATAATCTCCTATGCCTTCTAAAAATCAACCCCACACCCCTAATGTTTATTGATATATCGAGAGAGAGAAAAATGAGATTAATGCCGGAAGTAGTTCTGAACGCGGAGGGAGAATGCCAGAGCTCGGCATTTGGACGACAAAGAACCTGTTCCCACCGCCGGAGTTGGTCGAGGCTGCGGTTTATGATGAGACTGAGCTCGGTTATCGACACTTCGACTCAGCAAGTGTACATATGAGTCAGAGCGGCCCCTCGGCTGAGCCGTTGAGGATGGTCTGGTTGGAAGTTGGGAGGAACTCTTCGTTACTTCGAAGCTTTGGTGCACGGATGCGCTCCCCGATGGTGTTTTTCCGGCAATTGATGAGAGTCTACGGTCAGGGGTCATTATCAAATTTTCTTTTCTTTTGCTTCAAAGCTATCACAATGTATGTTTAGGGTGTGTTTGAGAGCTCCTCAAGATAGGGTCAGGGTTGGACCTAGTTTCATTTTGAGCAAATTTATGTTTTTTTGTAAAATTGGGTCAATATTAACCCAGTTTTACCAAGGCCAAATTTAGCCCCTTAAAACAAGTTTTGTTTTGGACCGTCTCCTCTTGGTCCAAAACCAAACCAGTTTAGTTGAAAACATGGCCATAGGAACTCTTGTCCCCATTTGAGAGTGTTTTCCAAACACACACTTAGCCTCGTTTTATCTCCTGAATTGTCAAATTCCCCCATGTTTACCCGCTAAAGTATTTACAGTCTCACTTTTTTTCTTTTTTCTTTTCTTTTTCTTTTTTTTTTGCGTAAAATTGGTGAGTTGGTACCCTCCATGTTCTAGTAATAAGAGTTTAATGAAACAATCCAAATACCAAAAAGTTTCTGCTAAAACGGCTATTGTAGGATTCAAACCCCGTGCATGACCTCGTGAAAGAGATTAAACACTCTGCCATCAATTTACCCACAGGGAAAATTATCAGTCCGCAAACTGCCAGTGCGGTGGCGATAAATCCCAAATCATCCTCTTTCTGCTGCATAATAATGAAAGACATGCAATAAGTCCCACAATACACACTATTCATCTCCCTTCTCTTTTATATTATATGTGGGTATAATCTGGCTGCCTGCATGTCTAGTATCTTAGCAACTTGCCCTCTCATGCTCGATCTTGGCTGTACTAATAGACTTTGTATGGGTCTATCAATAGTACAAGAAAAAAAGAAAAAAAAGGAAAAAAAAGAAAGAAAGAAAGAAAAAAGGGACACACACAAAAAAGAAACCAAAAGGCTAAAACGTGGCTATACAAAAGAAAAACTAAACACAAAAGGAAGGAGCCAAAAAACACTAGGCATCAAGGCAAAGATCGCTATCACTTGAATGTGGTTAAATTTTGTTGATATTTAACATAATCCAAACTAAAATTTAACGGATAATACTAATAGGAATCTATTTAATGTTAGGCATTAACGATCCCTTATTCTAATCTCCATAAACTAGAGATCAAGAAATGAGCTCACAAGATAGTAACAATAGCAAGTAAGAAGAATAACAAACGAGATTTACATGATTCCTTGATCAAGTTCGATCTACATCTGTCAGATAACAGTATGAGAAATCTATGATATATGAGATACAAGATTACAAGAGAATTCACCAATCTCTCTCATCTCTGAACCTCACATGGACATACATTATTCACTATCATATATTCTAATTCAAAGTCGTAATCTGATCCAAATGTCCTACACTCTTCTCACACATAAGAGAGACACATATAGTGCTATGAAATGAAACCCTAACCCTAACTTAAACTAAAGGCCACCTAGGCTTAAGATGCTGCTGAATACGTACTAAACAAATACTAGATACATCTCAACATTTGATGATGCGTCTTAAAGGATGTGAAGGGCTTTTCTCAAAATGACGCAAAATGAAATCTTCAAGGGACCTATTTTTTCCTAGACAGTAGACACCACCTTTGAAATAGAGTCATTCTATAGAAACCACATTTGATTTTTAATTTATATGTAAACCACATTTAAATGGTCTTTTATTGCAATCAACCACATTGGTTTACTTAAGTCAAAAAAAAAAATTTCTCTTGTAATAATTAGTTATTAGATACCAACTATGTCGTAGAAATAATTCTATACTTAAGGTTAAGTGGGGTCAATTACTGAAAAGAATTAATCAAAAAGGGAGCTCAGGTGGTTCATCGTAATAAAAAACTCCTTAAAGATGACTTATGTATAAATTGACAACGAAAGGTGATTTTTATAGAATGGCCCTATTTTAAACATGGTTTTTGAGGGGGAAAACCCCTTCAAATAATCTATATAGTTTTAGGGAGAACATCTTAAAATACCTACTTTCTTATGTATGCATCAAGCAAGGCATAGCCTTAAGATGGTATGTTTTTATGCAAACTGCTTGGGATGCAGTACCTTGATCTCTATTTAATTTATTTTCTTGTGCCGACTCAATGGCAATAAAATGTTCGTCTTCATTGGTGAAGAAGTAATCCCTTTTTAGAGACAAAAGGGACTTGCGAGGAAATGAAGGAATGCAATCATCTTGGCTTGGCCAAGGCTATTGGTGTGAGCAATTTTACTTGCAAAAAGCTCGAGTAGCTCCTCATCCATACCAACATCGTGCCAGCAGTTAACCAGGCAACATCTTTTTATAGCGAATTCTTTTGATTTTTGTTCAAACTCTTTGAACTGATTCCATCTCACTGATGATTTCCTTAGAGAGCAATGCTTGTTACTATTTCAATAAATTGCACAAACACCTCTTGTGTTATCTTGATGTGTCAATTGTGCCTCTCAAGTTTGGTATTGGTATAGAGAGACCTCGGGAATCAAACTGAATTCTGATCATACTCGTGATAGAAAGGGATCGATGGTAAGAAATTGAAGGACGGAGTGCAATACTACAGGGAGTATATCTGCCACAAACCTCTAATAATATTTAGTTTTAGGGGTCCATCTATCACTATCAAACTTAAATAAGTGGCCCAATAACGTAGTACATAGGGTCTATGTGCAATTGACCCTACAAAATAACACAAAATTTGTGTTATTTTGTATTATGACCCCTTCATTTCAACATGGCAAGTTATAATAAAAAGTGACTGGAAAGTTCTTGATAAGCTACATATCTCATGTAACATGGGCTTTGTTAGATCATTAAGTTGTTGTATAGCCTAGTTCTAATTTGGATGGCACATAGTAGGTGGAAATGCATCCTCTTTGGCAACAAGCACAACTAAGAGACTTCCCCCCCTTTTTTGAAATAAAAACAAGGGATTTTTCCCTATCATATATAATTAAAACTTCAAAGTATTTACATAGTGACATGAGATAGTGTCCAAAAACTGTTTTCTTTGTAGAACGTAATAATCCCTAAAGCATAGAGGTATAGAACTGTCACGAACCTAATTTTTCAAACCTAGAAGGAATATTGGAGCCTGACTAAATTTGTGAAAAGTCTTCAGAAAATATACATTCAACAGGACCATCAAAATAATCTATTCATTGAACTAAAACGAACAATAAATATTCTCTATAATCTAAAAGTCAACATAAATCCAATTAACTTGATATAAACAAATATTCATCAACTTGGAATATAACTCGACCTAAAGGATAGAATCTCATTAATACAAAACTCTCAAGTTATCAACTAAACATCAAAGACTTTATTTAACCTTCACCTAGAAGACAATATCAATCTCGAATTTTATTCCTTACTCCGTTCTAAGAATTTGGAAGTCATCAATTCCATCTAATCCCGAGTCTCTGAAAAGAATGAATACAACACAATGAGTTTATAACTCAATAAGTGAATAAATTCATACATTAAACACTGGTTTTGCAAAACTAAAATAATTTGACTTGATAAGTAAAACATTAAAATAGTAGAAAATTATAATGCAACAATTTTAAAATATATACATTCAATGGAAATAAGTGTTAGTTTCGAAAAGTGTAGACCCAAACCTAGATCAAAATCAACAAAACTGGAAAACTCAGCCTCGGTCGACTGACATGCATGGATAAGTTGACCGAATCGACTGTAGGAAACTGAGCAGGAAAATCCGCTCTGGTCGGTCGACCGAAGCAGTGACACCGGTCGATCAATGTGAAGTCAAAAACATTACACGAGTTTCGGGACGGTCGACCGATGGACTTGCCCCGATCGACCGAAAACATGTATGAGAACCCTATAGAAAACAAAGTTCTGGACGGTCGACCGAAGCAATATTATCAGTCGACCGATGGCGATCAACCGGTCGACCGATATCGGGTCTGGCGGTTTCCTAGTTCGAGTTGGAGTCTAATTTTGGGTTGAGTATATATATGTTACCTAAAACGTTTTTTAGGGTTATGTGAGG